GAGGGAGAGGGAGAGGGGGGGGAGGGCGAAGTTGTGAGATGGAATTATGGGGTAGGGTTAGAGGGGTTAGTAGGTATAGCGCGATGTAAGGAGTAGTTTACTTGAACTAACTTTGTTTTCTTAGCCTCTAACTACTTCTAATAAAATTAAGCGAAACAAAACCTGTGATTACTACAGATATAAGCTATTAGGCTCTAAGGGGGCTATAAGTTATATAAAAGCTGTTCTACTTAGACTAGATTCATTATAGAGAATCAACTAACAAGGAATGAATGAAATACGCATTATGTCATAATAAGAATGCTAGATAACTTCTCTATACTACATTGTAAAAGTGTAATCACTAAATTAGCTCTTTGAGCTAGCTCATAATACTCAACAACTGTCTGCCTTCCTGCACTTCTACTTGTGATATATCTTCTTCCGTGGTAGTGGCTCACTGCTCATCATCATCATCCTGAAGTTCTTCAAAGTAGGGTCCAAGTGTGATTCACCCCACGCCCTTCTTGTTTGTAAGTGTTTTACTATCCAACGCCCGCAAATTCCGCAAATGTATCCTACAGCAAACTCCCTCATAAAATTCGACAGTAGTAAATATTCCGACAGTAGAGCTTCCACGACAAAACTGAAACATACAAATCCCTTGATTAACACGCGTTCTCTGGCTCTTTGTGATCAGACAATTTCTATTCTGAAACGTAAGTGTTAAGCTCTTCCGCTCCTGGGGCCCATAGAAATCACACCATTCATAGCGCGAGTTTTCTTTCTCGACTCGAGTAGCTTCATGGCTATAGCTAGCTACTTGACCTTTTCTACTATATATAGCTTGATGTTTCCCGTGACTAACACGTCTCGTTATGTAGAAGGGTAGAGGTCTTTCTGGTATTCTTCCACGTTTCGACAAAGTAATTTAAGTATTAGTATCTTCTTTTGGGAGTTTCAACAGAAGAATGTACCTGTCTTGATACGATGATTTCTCTTATCAGGGGATTGTATAAGTATTGCCGAAAGTAATGAATCTTAAAAGATATATTTAAAATTGTTCTCTGCTTAAAAACAATTATTTGCAGAGCTAGTAGTAATAACGCTATCACAATATAACAGGTTCCGTGCTTAATACTTACTGAATCAACAGGTATACTGGTATTTAGTTTACTTAGCTTAATAGTACAAGAACCAATCCGACTTTCAGTACCATGGTCTAAATTCGCCTTCCGATTATACCAGAGAACCTAACGCTCCTCCTCGAAGGAGGTACTAGGAACTAATTGCTAAATCTCCCTTTCCAGGAAGTCTCTGAGGTTTATCCCTTTTTGACAAGTATAGAATTTCGATAGTATTGAATGATTCGATAGTTGAGCCATTGGATGTGATTATATTCCACTTAACAAATGCTTTTGACTTAATTCCTGTAGTTTCTGGTGTGCTTTCCATAGAAAGCACTCCTGCGGCAATACTCTACAAGCATTGAACATCTGAAAGATTTTCAAACCCACGCCACTGCTTAAAGCTAGGAAGATTTTACTTATCAAGACAGCTAGGTCGATGAGACAGCCCAGGGGAGAAATTCGGATTGAATAATGCTACAGTTGTAATTACAATACCTTATCCTAGACCCTATGTAACGATATTGGTATATATTCTCAGGGGCAGCCTTCAATGAAGATACCCCAGGATCTCTTCGTTCTTCTTCAGTCTGTTGCGGAGATCCTTCACCTACTCTTGAGCATTACGTAGTTGAGAGGATTCTGGAACCAAAGGTGAAGTTATGTAAGTTGGGAATATCCCCAGGATATACGAGCTTGGAAAAGCTTTGAACATATCTAATGTTTGAAATGAGAACGATGATAAGAAAGATTTCGACAGTAGAAGCATACGATTTGCTCTACTTGTGGCAAAGAATTGTCGGTGCCGCGAAAATCCAAGACTCAGTCGCCCATCGTCGGGGAGTTTATTCGCTGCCTGGGCCTTTCAGCGGTCAGCCATCCACAAGTCAACGGCCTGCTGGCTATGACGGGAGCGCATCTTCTCTATAGAAGAAATGATGACCGTGAATGTCGCGTCCTCATCCTTGCCTTTTAAAGTATAGTAATGGTGAGATATAAAAATGGTGAAGTACGTTATTAGTAAAGTTTGTCAATAGTGAAGTATGGAAATATGTAGATAGTGAAGTATAAAACGTATGCAAGGAAATTAATAATAATTCTAATACCAGTAATAAAGAAATATCGAGAGTGAAAATTAGAAGTAGTAGATATAGTATTAGTGAAATATAGCATTAGTGAAATATAGTATAACTTAGTGAAATATAGTATTAGTGAAATATAGTATTAGTGAAATATGGATATAAAGTATATAGAGTTGCTGCTTTGGCTTCTTAGGCCCGGACACTGAATATAGTCTTTGTATATTCGTATGGGGTTCTAAGAGAGTGTGGGTGGCTAGCTAATATATGTTGGTGTTGTGGACTGTCTTAGACAGTACCACGTGACTCCCCTCTTTGGCCAGAACGCAGATATCGCGACAAGAGTAATCCTACTATGAAACAAGAGGGATGTGAGATATAATAGAAGTGAGCATAGTGAGAAACGGAGAAAGTGAAACATATAGTAGTGAAGTTTATAGAACGTTAATTTTCTAGTAAATTATATGTATAGTTCAGTAGTTAGATAGCGTAAGCTACTACGAGCGGAAAATTCTAAAGTGCTTATAGATAATAGCTTCTTGCCCTTATATTTATTATAACTACCGAAATCTCTTAATATATCTTAATTATAATACTTCGAAGTAGAATAGAATAATAAAGAACACCTTCTCTTTCCTATGTATATATTTCTTATAGTATAGACCTGTAGTAGAGCGTATTAGGATTCTATGGAACCTATCCGTACATATATAAGGAGCTTCAGGATAGAGGTGTTCCTAGGTGCCACAGCCTGAACGCTCTAGCCGTTCTATAGAAGTTAGCGATACATGTAGGTTGTAAGGTATAGGATTAATATTAGTGGAAGTATATGTGAAAACGGCGGACTTTTGATTTGCTGTCGAAATCTCTTATACTTTCGAAAGGATCTCGCACTGTTGATTATTTTTCTACCTATATGTTTTCCCTATTTTAATATATCGGTAAGTTCTAAGTTCCCTTCTAACCCTACCAATTACACCCCGCAGGAAGATAATTAATACAATCACAGATAACTTTTACATTAGCCATTCTTGAGTTGGCCGTGTTGCCGTAGATAGCTGTACCTATGAAGCATATCAATTTCTATTAATTATCTCTGAAGCTCGCTGCCGGCTTTCTCGGTTTCAATTCAGCTCCCATTGCCAATCTGTGTACTTCTCTCTACTTCTCTAGATTCACCTCAACTTTATAACAATTCCAGAAAAGTTATGGTTAACCATAAACAGACTAGTACCTATGATTTTATCACCTTTATCTAACGATAATCGTAGACGAGCAACATTATACTTGTTTAAAGCGATGGCTATATATAAAGAAAAACAACTCTTTAGCAAGGACCCTTAGGACTTACAGCAGTTCAATGGATTGTGTAAGAGGGTAGAAATTCATATTAGGAAAAAGACTTGAGAAGACCACAGCAGCCAAAAGACTGTGAATTTTCCGAGGGCAAGTCTAAGCACCGGCATGAAGAATGGCAGTAGAAAAGCTAATAATCTTTGACGTTCTAACTCCCCTATTCCCATCAGGTAGTTCCCCGCGGTAGCACCGCAGTACTTTACGACTCAAGAAGCTCCCACAAAATCCCTATCCCCCTCCTTCAGTATCGTCAACAACCAAAAAAATAAACATCAACCAGCCAGCAAGTCCAAGAACAAAAACAAAAACAACGAAAAAAACCTAAAACCATCCGTCCACCCTTATCAGTACCCCAGTCCCACCTCACACCCCAGTAACCCTCCCCTCTCTCTAAGCGAGCCACCCATCCGCCCTCCATCGACCCAAAGATAAGGAACCTAAATGCATCGATCGGACTATAAATCAGCCTCAAGAATGTATAGTAGTTAACAAACCTAGTCCCAGTAAGGACTATCTATGTACAGTGGCACACAGACATATCTGCAAGTGGCAAGCTACTGTATGAAGTACTGTACCGTAGATCCGGGGGCGGGAAGTGGAGTGAAGGGGAGGATCCTTGTCTGCGGTGCTGTCATGATCACGGGGAATCAAACAGCGGATTCCATGCATACGGTAGTTGTGTTTTGGGGCCATATCGTACTTGAGTAGCGGAGAGGAGATACGAGGATTCGGTCGCTGCGCCAAGTAAAGGTACGTGCTTCCTTTTGCTTTTTTGGATCTGATTGGGAGAAATGGGGTACTGTGATACGTTGGAAGGAGCTGGAGGGAAGTGGTGTACTTGTACGAGTAGCGTCTCAGCAATGGTGAAAGATTCCGCGGGACAGCCGCTTGAGTAAGCTTGGCAAGAGCTCTGGTATCAACGTCATTGGATCATCGGATTGACACTGATAAACAGGGGGACGAATAGGAATGTTTTGTTTAGCGAGAAAGAGATAAGCACGAGGACTGGCATTCACATGGAAGAAGAGATAAGATTCGGAAATTGTATTGTATTCGTATCAATAGAGACATATGTTCTTAATTAAAGCTTTGGTATACATTTGATAAGAGAAGAAATAGAAAGCTAGACTAGTGCAAAGTCGGCGATAAATTAGAAAAGCAGGTGGTCTTTTTCCCACAGAGATCCACCGGGATATCGCTCCCCCCAACACACCAACTCCATGCGTAACAGAAGAAAAAAAGAATCCAATCCATCATAGTTATCCAAAAAAGAAACTGTTTAAAAAATGAGCAAAGAAATGTTCGTTTCAATCTGGCGAGATTCCTCATTGTGGTTATTGCTCGCGCCTCTTCTCCTTCATCTCGTTCTCAGCAGCGATACCATGACGATCTCCACCAATTCCGGTGTAAGCAGGAGAATCGGGCACTGGAGATTGTCCGTTGATCATCTCACTGTGCTGTGGGATTCCGTGGCGGTCGCTTGGGTTGACGTTGCTTTCGGTTCTCTCTGGCTCATCCTTGGCTGGAGTCCAGGCGAGGTAATCTCTTCGAACCTCAACATAATCGTAGGCAAATTCTCCGAGTTGGTCATCGTCCATACCGAGGAGTTCAGCCTCTTCGGATGCGCGGAGGTGAAGGCCGGGAATGAAGTTGATGGCGTACGCGAGAAATGCGGAGACGACGAAGGAGTATCCGATGCAGGCGACAATGTAAGCGACTTGGATGTAAAGTTGCTTGTAGTTGTGGTTCAACCAGCCACCATTGATGATACCAGTGTTGACACCGTCGAGCCCAATAATGTAATCGGCTCCGAAAAGAGCATTGAAAACAAGACCAACTATACCGGCGATAGCGTGCTCAGCGAGGACATCCATACTATCATCAATTCGAATCCAGAACTTGACTATTAATATGTTAGTAAATCTTTGCATCATACACAGTAATACTCATTGACATACTCTTGGTGGAAAAATTGCAAACAAGACCAGCAACAACTCCGAGAATGATGGATGCCCAAGGAGGAATGAAACCAGACGCTGGAGTGGCAGCTACGAGCCCGGAAATAGTTCCTGAGCACCATCCAACCATAGACCATTTCCTCGCGAGACGATAATCGAGAAGACACCAAGTGATGGCTCCAAACATGGCAGTCAAGCACTATTGAAGTGTCAGTACATCGGGTAGACCAAAACATCATGGGAAGTGCTTACAGAGTTCCAGCAGGCCATGACAGCACGGAGATTAGCTCCAAAAGCAGATCCTCCATTGAATCCCAACCATCCGAACCAAAGGAGAATTGTACCGAGTGTGATGAGAGAAACGTTGTGTGGTCTAAAGTTCAACATCATTTTCTCTTGGCGTCTTCCGAGGACCATTGAATATGCAAGGGCCGAAAAACCAGAGCAGATTTCGACAGGGCCACCTCCAGCATAATCGAGAACACCATACTTGAAAGCCCATCCATTGACGTTCCACACCCAACATGCAATCGGACAGTAGACTATGGTTGCCCAGCAGAATGTGAAAACCATGGCAGGAATTAGACGACCTCGCTCAGCAACGGCACCCATAACAATTGCGGCCGTGACAGCAGCGAATTGCATCTGGATAGTAGGTTAGCAATACTCTCTTGACCCCTCGCCATTCGAAAAGCCTACCTGATAGAAGGAGTATAATAGTTCCGGGATGAGTGGGGACCCTGGCGAAGGAGTTCCCAATGTCCCTAACAAACCAAAATGTTTGAGGTTTCCAATGAATCCATTTGTGGCCGAGGAACTAAACGCAAGAGAATAACCCCAGAAGTACCATTGGAACGTCATTATGGAAAAGGAGCCCATACACGCCCAGATCATGGACAGTGCAGACTTGCGTCGTGCGAGGCCTGAGTATAGAAAGCCCAGGCCCGGCACCATAATCAAGACCATACATGCTGATATCAAAATATATGCTTGATCACCGGAGGAATACCATTGATTCAAGTTCGTCGTTGCTATAATTTTTCATGAGTCAGTTTTGGTGCCTTTTCCCCGTCGGTTGCATGTTTCTCAATGTCATGTGCAGAGAACCAAAGGTGTCAATCCATACCTGAGTCCCCGCCGGTGGTTCCTGTGCCATTGTATACGGTTGGCGCTCCCGTCCAGGCGTAATTGGGGACGTACGACATCGTGAAGGTGTTTTCCCCGGTTCAGTTAAGAACCTCGTTCCAATGGCAAAGGGGAATGTAGATAAGGGTGCCGAGGTCGGCCACTAAAAGCTCGTTGTTGCAATGACGTCGCACGATCGGACCAAAAGACAATTTGGAGTTGAACAAAGAGACACAATCGCGGATTGTGAAATCTCAATCAACACAATCAATAATGGGAGCGCTGCAAGAGGAGGTCCCAAGATATGGATTGGACGGGGGATGGGATGACTTTAAACGACGAGCACAAGCGATGGGTGTCTGGTTTAGTTTCAGTTAGTCCTTAAGGTTCGGTCCATAACACAACTCATAATGCGAACCCTGAGCCCACCGGGGGATGGATGTCTCTTTAGTACTCCGTACTCAGTGCAGATCAGCCAGTTCCTGGGCAATTGGGCAAGCCAGCGAGCGCAGCTAGGTGGAGTGACCTAGCCGGCGTGGTGGCGTGGAGGTTCTGATCCACTTACAATACCGACCCACGCAAAGCCAAGAAAATGGAATCCCCGGGAGGAGGACGACTTCACACTTCTGCATACTGTACTCCGTACAGTCCGCCGTACTGAAAAAAGAAGCATGCAGAGTCATCCTCCAGACACGCAAAAAGGGGTTGAGATGACCCTCCCCTTCCGAAGCAGGAGAGCCCCAGGCCCAGGAGAGATCGCTACGAGAATAATCCTTCGTAGAACGTCATGGGTGTGTCCCAGCTGCTGTCTACCTGCTCCGCGGTACGCTCACCCGCTTCCTACTAACTAGGCCTCCCTGCCTTTGCCGAGTCGACGTGGGATGAGATCAGTAAAAGCTACTTCGAAGTAAGTAGCGGGCAGCCTCATTTGCTGCTTTGGAAACCTTCCTAACCCCGGAAAAGGGTAGGGCTCAGAAACAATGCGTGCCATATGTGGTTCTTTCAGCCATCGGTGCATGGCAAACCCTGGTGGGTAACAAGTTGAGGGGGCCTAGCCTAGCATCATTCAAATTGCACAGAGTATGCTGATGGGCCAGGTGTGGCTGGAACTGACATCAGTATCAGTGGAGTCTTTCTGGTTGTCGTGACACAACTATTGGGGTCTGGAGAAATGCTGCTATTGGCTCCGGGGCCAGAGCTTGGACTCTAATGTAAACATACACATAAGTATGTGAAATTTCACACGCGATGCACCCGAAATGGCCGCCCTCTCGAGCCTCTCTCTTTTTCCACCGATGTCGGCAAATATCACAAGTTGCCTCGCTGTACAGTACCAGTAGGGACCGTTACAGACGTTCGGACGACTTGCATCTCTGCAAGACCGAGCACATAACGGCGAAAAGACTGGAAAAAGTTTTCTTCAGATCATTCGAACCCAAAGCATGACATATTTCTTCTACAGGACGCATGAGCGGCGACAGGGCTGAGGTATTGCATAGTGGGGGGAACACAAAAAATATAAGCCGGAGAGTGCATCCAATTGCCGTCTCTCAGGTAAAGCACTCAAGCAATTCGTCTTTCTTTCATTTTGAAAGTGTGGGGTACAGTTATAGGACATGTCAGTATGCTACAGTAGGTACTTGGACACTTTTCGTTTCATTTCGCCATCTTGGCCATCTAATGCCATACCAAATGTTTCCTTCATGAGACATAACGTGTCTAATCATGATGAACACCCCAACAACTCCACGGAGCAGGATACTTTTCGACTGAGTTCAGTACCATAGTCGATACCAATTACTAATTGGTGCTCGTGCTCATGCTAAGGCACGTAGCGAAAGTAGGTCAGGCGTTGCCGACATTGCCAGGAATACCGGCACTTCAAACGCCTGTACTGTAACAAAGTATACTTCAAAGTATACTTCAAAGTATATTTTGTACTGTACGGAGTAGAGTACTGCAATAAGGCAATAAAACACTAGTGCTTCCTACAGTACCTTTCCGGTGCCGCTACTACTGCTAGAGGATGAGAAGGAATGTGGTGATTTCCACTTGGACGACTTCGGAATCAGGTAGAGTATCAAATACTAGGTCAACCCTCATTCGGTGTTGAGGCATTTGTCCGATCCCTCCTTTCCCTCCCCTTCCCGCCGTGCCGGTGCTCTCATGGGCTAACCAAATTTTCCAGCCGCATCTCAAATCTATCGAGGTTGCGTGGTCACCCAAATGGTCAAGCGTGTGAAGTGAAAATGAACAACACTTTCGATTAGACATCGTACCCAGCGCCGCGAGAGGTCAGAGATAAGAGTTCACAAATCGCCTAAGTGACTAAGTCTGGCTGATACTAAATGGAGAATAGTCTTATCAGTCGTCCAGGACAGCCAATGGGGGAGACCGAATGCATTCCAGTGGCCCTCGCCCCTGACCAAAACCCTTGGCTTTGTAGTGGATTTCGGTCAAGGTTCAAGCCACTAACTTTGCGGTTTTGGGCTCCAACCGAGCGGGAAGTGGCATTATTGGAAGTCTTCCAGGAACCCTTCCCTTCCATTCAGTTTTCTTTTCTCCGAACCGCCCGACCCAAGTACCGCCTCGGATGAAACTCGCATCGGGACCCTCATCGGACATTCTCAATCACGTGTGCGCCAACACATCCCGCCCGTCCACCTGCACACTAGGGCTTCACGCACAACAAGCCTACTCCGATCAGATACTTCATACTCGTACTGCCACCTGCCTCCTCAACTGCTATCTCAGAACTAACCAAGTCACACAGTACTGGGTACTGGGTTCTACATGGTCCCAATACCAGCCCTGTATGACCACGCTTTTCTCACATGAAAAGTTGCCACCCGACCGAAGAAGCACAACTGCAACCATACGCCTAGGCTACTAGGATCAGATAGCAGCGTGCCTTTGCCAGATACGAAGCCACCGAATCTAAGTGACTTCATTCCAAGCTTCTTAGTACTTGCCCCTATCTCTTTAAGCCCAAGGCCAATAAGACCAGCACTCTCGCACCGCAAATATACCGGAAAAGCAAAATCAGCAGGACGGCCTCTCCGTGTCTCTTCGTATTAGAATATCAAGACGCTCATCAACTGATGGAATATTAGATTTGCCAGATGTTGAGATTAATCAGGGAGAAAAACTGTAATCAAAAGAACAACTCGGAAATTGCCAGACAACGGATTTCTCCTGGATAGGAGACAAAACATCACGCCGTCGATGTTTATTGAAAAGAATTATTGACACACGCTCTAATTGTTTCGAGCGGTCATTCCAGAACTCATTGGTAGGTACCACATTTAGCTGGGTGACGAGATCATCCACGATCTCATAGATCTTTGGACGTTCCTATTAGGACCAAGTGCCTATCCAGATTCACAGTCTGTCTGGAAACTTGATGCGTCACCAGCAAAGAATTGCGTGAAAGAAAACCGCGAAAGATCAAAATATTGTGTTTGAAAAAACAGAGCGAATGTTTTGGTTGCCCCCTTGGGGCATCCTAATTGAGGAACCCAAAACCCTGAGGTCAATTTATGCAACGTTGAGATATCAATCGGTTCCAATTGGGACTCTGTTGCCAGGAGCGAAAAGGGAAGAGAAACAAAAGAGAAGCCTGAAGGCATTGCGAGCCTAAGGTTCAATCACGAGGCTGTAACCAGCCTCGTCTCAGCGAACTTGACAGCCTCCCCCCAGCCTCACACTCTCAGAGCCTTGACCTTTGTGCGCCAATTTCAGTAGAGTGTTGGGCTTTCCCTGGCTTTTAGTATTACAGAGTCTTGCTCTGGCAGGTTTTTCGTGGCCCCCGCGGCTGTGAGCGCAGCGTGTATCCTGCCACGTGGAAATTGCTTGTGAGGATACAGATGCTAACCGACCCAGCCCCCAAACAAAAGCTTACCCCTTAAATAGCCGAAAAGCCACAACAAAACAACATCATGGATAACCAAACGCAGGAAGAAGTTGGAGAAATGCAGGATGAAGAGTAAGTAAAAATCACTTGGTAGTTTTGAAGTAGTCTATCAATGGGTTGGTCTTTCATAGTTAGGCGGCACTTTGCCTAATTTGGAAGCACGTGGCTTTATTTCCCTTTCCCTCTCCCAGGTCCCCTCCCGCCTTGAACCAAAACAACCTCCCAACTGCGTAATACAGACCACCTTCCTCGAAACTATCTGCTCATACAATACCAGGGCCATGTATCCTCCCAAGCGCAACTTCAAAGAGGTCGATATCGGCGCATTCAACCGTCAATATTCTAAAGAACGCGTAAGGCAGCAATTTTCCTTCGAGATCACTGAAAGTTGACGTCCTCTAGTTTCCGCCAAAGGCTGGCTCTCCACCAGAGAGACCGGCGACTGCCAGATGGAGATTGAACTTGTGCGCGCTATCTCAGAGATTCAATGTAAGTTTGGTTTGAATATCATTGAACTAATGCTGACATCGATCTCCAAAGCTGTACTTTGTGGTTTGCGGAGACGAAATTCATGTCACCACCCCAAAGAATGTTAAACACAAGCTTCCAGGTCAACCAGATGCTCGAATCTCCATTCCACAGACAGTTGGCGAGGGCATGACGGAGGGCCATATTGACCAGGAGCATCCACACTACGCTAATCACATCATTTGTGGAGACTTGGGTACTGAGGAAATCATCCTCTTGTCTTGTGATGACGGCGATGTTGTCGCGTTCTACACATTTGCCATATACAACCGAGTCAAAGCATTGGGTAGAACGCTCGGTGAAAGCCCAGTTCTCGACATCAAGCCGTAAGTTCCTTTTTCCCCTTCCTGCGCAATCATGCTAAGTCTATTAGATTATTTCACTCCAATGTTGGTATCAGCGCATGGGGCTTGGCGATTCACCAGAAATCTCGACTCATTGCAGTCTCTACAAATAGTCACGAGGTACAACTCTTCGGCTTTGCTACACAATCGAAGTCTCCGCTGTATGGCGAGGGGGGGGTTTATGTCGAGACACAACTTTCATCTGAACTATTTGAAGATCTCGGGCCAATCTCACCATTATCAGCGGATGATCAAAGATATAATGGCTATAGATTCGTATATCAAATGGGCCAAAGAGCAAACAATATTCCGAGTATCACATTCGTAAGCAACGAAGATGGGGATGCCGAATTGATTCTTGCGTCAGACATTGTTGGTCACTTGGTAAGCTTTCAGTCTATGTTCCTCTCTACACGAAACGGTTCTAACTATTCCTAGTGGCAAGTCAAGCTATGGGGTACTCGAAGACAGGACCGCGCCGAGCTTCTCTCAGGTACTGGTCCCTATGATGGCGAATGGTAAGTTATCAATTCTTTCTCCTACACAATCGGATCGTTGCTGATGTTCCAGGGGCTGGTGTGTTCTGGTTTTGCCCATTGATTCCTTCAAATGTGAGCCGACCCCACTAAAGGCCTTCGGAATCGTTGATCTAGTCAACGCGATGACCTTCATGGGCGACGACCAACGGGTATTTGTATACGTCAACGAGAGCGTATACAGAATCATCGACCAAACTACCGGAATCCGTAAGAACGTTCCAGGAATGTTTCCGGTAGAGAAGTTACCAGCAGACGACTCTGATATCGAACATGATCATGATGAGGAGGAAACGACCATGCCCATCCGTAGTCCTACCCCCTACCCGTCTACAAGAGTCGAGGAAATAGGATTGAAAGTAAAGGAAGACGACCTAACACGCAAAAACGAGATCTTCCGTTACATGGTCAACGTCCTCCCTTCAGGAACCACCGAGGACGGATCCTTTGAAACCTTCATCCAAGACGCAAAGCTACGGATCCTCGGCGAACCCTTCGAACTTCCCAAGACCGACGCCCAACTCACGGAGCCAGACCACACACCGGAGGGCCTGGAGGCCTCCAAAAAAAGACTCCCAAACGGCTGCGCAATCCTCCGCACCTACAACCGCGCCATCGAACTTATCCCCCCCGTCCCCGGCATCCCCAACACCATCTTCACCTCCGTTCTCCAGCACCCCCTCGGACCCCGCCCTCCTCGTCCCGCGCACCTGGAGCGCAGCCACCGGCTCAACATGTACGCCTTCATCCCGGAGCTGAGCCTCGTCGTCGTCGCCAGCCAGGCGGGCGAAGCGGTCGTCATCTCGCTTACCAAGCTGCCCCGCGGCTTCTCCAAGTGGGGCGAGGTGTGTCTGTTTCGTGTCGAGTATTACCTGCCGTTTATTCGGCATCTGGCGCCTCCGGGCCAGAGAAGACCGCTTTTGGGGGTTGCGGCGTCGAGGGTGCCGGTTGCGGGGGGGTTTGGGGGGATGGGTGGATTAGGGGAGGGGGGAAGTGGGGAGAGGTGGAGGATTTTGATGCATTTTGAGGATCATGGGGTTGTTAGTTATGAGGTTTGGAGGGGGGCGGGGAGTAATGTAATGCTTGTTTGAGTGGGGGCGGGGGTTCTCTGTTTTTTTGTTTGAGTTTAGATACCCTTGGGTTAGGGGTTTTTAATGAAATAATATTTGGGTTTATAAATCTACAGTTTCTGATATCTTTACTTGTAGGTCGTGACTTTTCCCTTTATCTCTCTTTCTATAAAATTATTTAGAAGGTTTTAACAATAGTATTAATCTAGAGTTTATAAGATAAGTAAAAGGCATTAGTTTTTTATTATAAACTTTTATCTTCTTATTTATTAATTCTCTCTTTTGTGTTCTTAGACTAGGTAAGTAATTAAAATATTTTAAGAATTATTAGATAAAAGTAAAAGCAAAAGTTTTTCTTATTTATAAAAGTATTAGCGTAAGTTACTAGAACTTATTTTCTATTTCTAGACAGTTAAATTAATATCTTAAATAGATTTAAAGTAAGTTATATACTATTTTATTAATATAACTTATTCTTTAAAGTAATTTATAATAATAAAACTACTAGCTTTATTAAACTTGAGAAGCTTAATCTAATTCTTTTAATTTCTTTTTAGTTTTAATTAAAATTATATATTACTTTTATAATAAAGATTCCTTATATTTATAAAATATAAGCTATTATTAGTAGTAGAGTTCTTAAATATAGTATAGCTATAGTTTAAGGCTCTTTTAAACTATATTCTTATTTAATAACTTTAAAACTAAGTTAGAATAAGTAAAATAGTTAAAAACTTTAAGAGTATTTATAATATATAAAATAATATAACGTAGTCCACAAGCGAGTTGGATTCCCAAGCGAAATGGATTTTTTTTCTTGGCACTCCACAAACTTATTCAGAGCGCGTTTTTTCTTAACAAACAAAATGGTTAAGCATTGGACAGAGTCTGATATGATTCTTGCGTTAAATACGCTTCGTACGAACCCACATTTAAAAGTTAAGAAGGTTGCGCGGATCTATAAAGTACCTTATACGACATTGCTTAATCGAACTCATGGAATATTATCACGACAAGATTCTATCGCTAAATCTCGAAAACTTACAGAGATTGAAGAAATAGTTATCGTACGACATATTCTCGACCTAGATTCTCGATCATTTCCCCCACGAGTACGTTGTGTTGAAGATATGGCGAATCGTATCCTCTCGGAGCGGGGTGCAGGACGCGTTGGCAAGAACTGGACTTCGAACTTCGTACGACGACAACCTGAACTTAAGACGCGTTTTAATCGAAGGATTGATTATCAAAGAGTCCAATGCGAAAATCCAGACGCGTATAACGCGTGGTTTCGCCTCGTACGAAATATAATTGACAAATATGGGATTCAGGAGGAGGATATTTATAACTTTGACGAGACTGGGTTTTGTATGGGCCAAATTACATCAGAAATGGTTGTTACAAGTACCGAAAGGCTTTCTCGGCCTCGTACAGTACAGCAAGGAAACCGGGAATGGGCAACAGTAATTCAAGGTGTTGGGTCGTACGGCTTTGTAGTGCCTCCATATATCATTTTGGCGGGGAAGAACCACCTCTCCTCCTGGTACGAAAACAGCCAATTACCACGCGACTGGGTAATTGCTGTAACTACAAATGGCTGGACAACAAATGAGCGAGCCCTAGATTGGATTTTTCATTTCGATCGGCATACAAAGCTTCGTACGAAGGGCATTCACCGGCTGCTTGTGCTTGATGGCCATGAAAGCCACCACTCAGTCAGTTTTGAGCTTTTTTGTAAGAGTAATAACATTATTACTCTTTGCATGCCAGCTCATTCCTCTCATAGACTCCAGCCACTCGATGTAGGATGTTTTCGAGCGTTAAAAAGGTCGTACGGTGCTGAACTTGAGAAATTAATGCGACTCCACATTACATATGTTTCTAAGGAGGATTTCTTATCAACATTCTATACTGCCTTTCGTACGACAATGACTGAATCAAACATTCGAGGAGGATTTCGAGGATCTGGCTTAGTGCCGTACGACCCAGATTCTGTGATTTCACAGCTTGATATACGTCCAAGGACTCCGTCACGTCCATCTACCTCAACAAGCCTCCTAGCTATTTGGGAACCAAAGACCCCAAATAACATAACAGAGGCATATTCCCAGACGTCATATATACAAAACAAGGTCGTACGACACCAAGATAGTTCTCCGACCCAGATTCTATATAGCCTAGACCAGCTTGCAAAGGGTGCACAGCGTGCAGTCACTGAGGTAGCTTTATTACGAGCTGAGAATGCTACACTTCGTACAGCAAATGATCAACTTAGTCGGCGTCGTCGTACGAAAAAGCGCCGATTACAGGAAGGAGGATCACTTACTCTCCAAGATGCGCAAGATTTAGGGGTCCTTAGTAATGTTTGATTCGCAAGAACAAGTGGTTTTAGTAGAAAATAGTAATTGTACGAGCCCGAGTCTAGTACCTCGCCGGCGCTGTGGACTATGTGGGAAACATGGCCATAACATACGAACTTGTCAAAAAGGAGGAGAAATATGTGAGGATTCCGATTCTGAATACTGTAATTGATTTAATTAATTGTGTCGTGAGATATTTAAGGATTTATAAAATGCCAAGAAAAAAAATCCATTTCGCTTGGGAATCCAACTCGCTTGTGGACTACGTTAATACTTTTTCTAAATCCTCTAGTAAAGACAGCTAATTATTACTATTTGGAATTTTATTAAATGTTTATAAACACTTAATAGAATTATGAATAAGAATAAAAAACTTGTACTGAAAATTAGTAAAGAGATATTATTTGTATAATCTGATAAAAAAGGTAAGTGATAGAAAGGAAGGGTGTGCGAGCAGAGTTGGTATTACACTAAAGCAGCCCCATCTGTTTTGCGATCAGCTCGCATCTCGCTTTATTGGAGGCGATGCGGTTTTAAGGAGAGATTCGCAAAGGAAAGAGGGGTTCTTATAGTACTGACGATTAAGTCTGAGCCATTTGCACTTTTTACACCAAAACTCGGCATAATTACGTGTACAAAAAACCTAAAAGGTTAAGATAAAATATAAATTCCTTTGTAGTATCTCTTTATCTTAATACTCCCATCCTTTCTGTCTCTTCCGATTTCGTTTAGTAATATCAGGTATTAAATAAAAAGCGTATAAAGTTGTCTGTTTTTAGAAAAGTAGTATTTTACACCAAATTCGGCCTAAATTCGGCACAAAAATAAGTATACCTATAGGATTACAAGCTATACTAATAGAGACATTATATATAGCTACTGGTTTAACTCTAAGTTAATAGATGTAACGAATACTCAAACTGGCTAACTAAACTTGGCTGGGTGTTCCGCTGGTTGGTATGCTATGATAAGAAGAAGACTATCGGGTTGTTCACTTGGAAGTGAACTCGTTACTTGTATCAAAGATGTCAAACTAATATGATAAGATTGATAACTAAGTTGAGCACGAAGCTCCTATCTAATGGCAGACGTGCCAGTCCTATATAGAACCCTCATTCCCATGATCGCTGCTGGTCGCCGCGACCAAGCGACCACTACTGGCCACGTGATAACAATACAGAGAAATCCCTGGATCGCTTAGCTACTCCAAACGATCCCTATTTGCTATAAGAAACCTGGATGTGCCTGTCGAGGGTTGCGCCTCTTATTATGACAAGTATCACGTGAGCACGTGATTCGTGACAATAGAGCCGAAAGATAAATAAGGAAAGTATATGATATAAGGCTAATAGTTCAGTATCGAATATATCGTATTATAAAGACTATTAGTTGTGTACACCGAGTAAAGGTGTTATAAGTGCTACTACTATTATATAGTAGTGCTTAGTGCCAAGTACGGCACGTGAGTAGCCTTGAGCGGTATTCACTTATACCGACAATAGCTTAATGCACTAATATAATATTACTAAGAAGGTACTTAAATATAAGTATCTAAAAGGAATAATAGTTTTACCTTAAGTATATATAGTTACAAGTAATTCAAAACTAGGCAAATCGTCGAATTTTGGTGGGGTTCGGCTAAATAGCTTAGACTTAATCGCACCGACTGTACCTGACTGATAACCGTCGGATGAAGGAGGCGCCATTTGCGGATAGGCGGTCGAGATGGAGGCATAGAATTTCCTTGGTATGTGCTCTGTAAATATTTTTCTCCGCTACCATACTGAGAGCTTCCTGGTACAACTCGCGATTTTGACGGAGGGCGACGAGGAGGGCTGGAGTGGGATCATGGGGCTCGATAACGAGGTCAAATATTTGGTCTCTGAGTTCGGGAGCGAGAGTTGAGAGAGACATTTTACAGGGTTTGTAAATAGGCTCTGTGATATTGTGAGGGGCTTGTGATGGTTGTTGGAAGCAGGTGGAATTACAAGGGAAATGCTAAGTTTAGGATTTTCTGGGAGATAAATAGCGAACTATTAGTGAATGAAGGTTATATCCACAATGAACGCAACTCCATCTGTAACTCATCCCAACCTCATAGTTATCATACATAGAGAGAATAATAAGAGGCACAAGGTGATTTAAGGTTTACTCCATTTCTATACATGTCTCAGAATCTGGAGAATTACTAATAGGGGCTTTATCACAATTGGCTCAGCAAGGTACAAGTAGAAGGAGACATTGAAAGAAATATTTGGATTGTTATGGAATCTTCTTGTCACGCTCGCACTATACAAGTACGAACCGAAAGAAGCACAGGCAATCTTCAGAACATAATTCAAGTGGTATCATTTGAAATGTCTAACCATTTAATCAATGAAGCAGCAATCATGACAACCCATAGATAGGGCATACTGCGTTCAGTTGATGATCTTCCATTCCAATTTAAAATCCTCTGCTGCCTGCCATGTGAACGTAGTTTTGGCCTTTGTGCTGTGTTCTGGAGGGTGAAATAGGGTAGGCTCAGTTGGACTGTAGTTGACCAGCTTTTCATTCTTGGCTGGGATTCCAAGTCTCGCGTTGATCTCCCAAATCTTGGTATTCAAAACTTCCTCGCATGTTTTGTAGCCCGCAGTCCCAGCTGAACACTTCTTATGGTCCTTTTTAACACCCTCTATCGAAATGGAAAGCTTCTCCAATTTGTATCTCTGGGCCAGCTCAATAAATTTGTCGATTCGTGCTCCAAAATCATCTGGGTTGTGGTCGTGAATTTCGCGAAGGCGCAAATCTCTCAGATGCTCTAATGGCGGAAGCTTGTTCTTCTTTCCATCGAGAAGATAATTGACCATAACGCCTCGGTTGATGATTTCAACAATAGTCTTATCGTCCGATATTTCCTTATAGAAATCATTAAAACCACTGCAGATGAACTAGTCATTGGTCGAAAAGGAAGAATGCTAGAGCAAGTCAACTCCAAGACTTACCAAACCAAGAGTCGCTGGATGGAACCAAGAGTCTTCGTTGACATATTGGGAAGGGTCGACGTATTCAAGCGGTCCAAGTCTCTCAACGTAAAGTAATTATCTCGAACCGAAACATCCAAAGCCTCGTTGTACATGATCCCGCTGGCTCGTAAAGCAATTATCAAGGATGGGGTTCTGCCTGTCCACTCGGTGACCAAGCCGAAGATTCTTTGGCGCACTTCAACCGGCAATACATCCAAAGAGGGCGGGTGTTTAAAACCTATGAGTCTGTTGTCATGAGTACAGTTCGCAAAGGAAGTGCCCCTGTCGACCTGCAACTTCTTCAACCGGCTGTCTTCGAAGTCGCAGAAGTAAACCCTGCAGTATGCAAAGGAGCCACCATTCACCGTCGACCAGCGCAACTTGATATTTTGTACCTTGCAATCTCGGAGTCGACATTCGACATATTGCGCGAAACATGGAAGTTCATGAGGGAGTGATAAGTGCCGGGAAAGAACCTTGTTGAGAAGTCTTCGATCTTGTTCGGAGTCGGCAGGTGGAGTGTTGATGCTTTGGCAGTTGACGAGCTTACAATTCAAGACTTCGCAATCAACAACCGTACAATCGTATAATATCGAGTAACAGATGATGGATTTGCTGATGATGGTATCGCGGAGTTCCGACTTGTCCAATGAAGTGTTGACGATGTCGCACCGATCTGTCAAGCATAGATTCATAATGCAACCTTCGATCTCTGAGTTGATGAATTCGCATTCATCTAGCGTGCGGCTCTTGATTGTAGTTCTGATAAATTCGAGATCGCACTGGCTTCGTCTGCTCCGCTGAGCCAAGCCGGCATAAGGTGGCTTTAATGCCATGTTGTCCATCGTGGCTCAAGGATTGACTGATGAGAAGTGATGGGTTGGAGGGGCTTGAGTGCGCCAACTAGCTGAAGGACGGAAAAGATTTAAATTCAACAATAAGCAACCACCATTGGTCATCGCAATGGCGCAAGAAATAAAGCGGAACAATGCCGCCCTCTCAGTTGTGTACCCCCTGTACTAAAGCGGCAATGGACATGAGGTTGACATGGGACTAAGATTCGATCACCGGCAAAAAGCGGAGGTAGAGCTTCACAAATCAATACAAGACTTGCGAGTCCTCTCTTTAAAGTATCGAACTCCTTCGGAATTCAGGTGCTACGGTATTCTCACCAATCATGAGGCGTCGTAAGTGGACTTTGAATTTTTAAGTGAGAAGAAGTGCTAAGCGAGGGATTTGTTGGTTATTGTTCAGCTAATACCATATCTTTTATTCACTATTCACAACACCTACGTAAACATTATCCTTTTATCAAATACTTATGCTTAACGAAGTCAAATTAATGGATTTTGGTAACATATATTTGTTTCCTTCTATAGTCGATACTAAGAAATTAGTAAGGGAAACACATCCACGCGCACCTATTAGAAGCCGTGTAGTATGTTAGATTTATTAACAAATTCAATTGATCATGATAGCGCAAATGTGTTGATCGAGTGTTGCGAAATGCAACTACTATAAACTGCTCCTAAAATTGATTTAGTTCTATAAGAATAGTTTTCTGATATAGGATTAGATTAATTATACTTCGTTTATATATAATGACCGGATCTCTTCCAGCTTGCCGGCTGTTTACACGTCGCAAAACCTTCTAAGAGAAAGTGTCTCGTCTTATCTACTTTCCGATCTACTACAGTTTCATAAATACCGGCCTAACCACCCGGGAATCTCGACCACTCATTAACCCTTCAACGTTTGCTTTCATCATCTCGGTACAGCAACTAATTTAACAGGCATCACTTTGTCTACCTATTTCTCTATCAAGTCCAATTTCACCGACATTATTAGAAGTCAATTATAAGTATCTATTTCTGGAAGGAAGCACAGGGAAACACCAAGATATAAGGGTTATCGTTAGTAGTGTCGGGGATTATAAAACACCTGCTACAACTCGATTTTGAGTGATATATTGCTTATACTAGGTGATCAAAAACACGATACTCTCAATGTCAACTGTTAAGCTTTCATATGCACAAATGACTTATGAGAGAGAATACGTAAAACTTGTTTTAGGGAGACGGCAGGACCCATGAGAAGAACCCATGAGAGAAATCTGTAGAACGGCGCTAAGAAGTAGGGCTCTATAGACACTAGGCTTATACCTTGAAGGAGAGGTTCTTTAGGTTAACAAGGCTACCAAGTCCCTTGCTAGACAAGAAAGAAATAGTAGGCAGCTCTGTTTTATTGGTATAGGTCTATCTAAAATCATTTAGTAATTTCAGATATTCAGATATATTAGAACAATCAATCCAAAATTTTGAGACCTTCAAGACAAACTATTTAAAGTACTTAAGAAATCCTTGTTGTTGGTCCAGCTTACCTAATTTATATGTGTGTAATGTAATATGACCTAGTGTTTTTTGAAGGATGAAGGAACGGACGAAGCTAGCTAATAGCCATTCAAAATTGTATAGCGAGATCTATATTTCTTTTTAGATACCAGTTCTAGTTATGGTTGTGTTTAAAGGTGGGATATAACAACGCAGGAGCTAAGAAACGGTAAGCGAGAACAAAATAGAAGGCGAACCATGGCACCTAACTTAGTTATAAAGGTCTGTAAATAAAGTCTTCTGAGATTGAATGAATGGATTGTTAATAGTCGCTAATTCTAGAGGTTGAATGCCGAGTAGGTGCTAAACTAAAGCTTATTAGTAGCTTACTCCTGGTGAGCAAAGTCATGGTGATTTGGATTTAGAATTTCTTTTAGGTACAGAACAATGAACAATGAACAACAAGCTGAAATTTACTTCCAATAGGAATATTAATGGGCTCAAGAACATATCATTTATTATAGAAAGTCTTATCATGAACTTCAAAGTGGTGATTGGAGTATTGTTTGGAGCTACCTAATATGTAAGACGAAAGCGAACAGATACTTGCACAGTTTAGCACACTTAAATTGCCTAGTTAGATGATTATTGGCTCAACTTCTATGGTTATATAAGACAATTAGAGACATTAATACAATGAAATTATACTATGTGTAGTAACTAAGTTTTTATTGCATGCCAAAAGCAAGTGTAGCCAGCCAAGTCTCTGCCTCGTGCCTTGTGCTTGTGTACATGTAGGTGCCGTTGAATGCTAGTCCCAAAGAAGCGGAGCAAAGTATCTAATATCTATTCACTAATATATTATAACAATAATAGACAAGTAGCTATGCCAATTCTAAGGTTTATAAAGTAATAATAACATGGAAAACATCAAGTAATGAGGTTTATCTCATGAGTGAAGGCTTTGTTGACAGTCTTTGACTTCATTCACGGACCGTTTGTTACCACAAGGGCCACAGACATCACAGAGCACTTTGTGGCTTGTTGATGTACCTGTGAAGTATATAGATAACCTGGGGGGTCTCCTTCTATACAGAATCTCAACAGCTCCTTGTGCTCTACTACACCTCTACCCCACATACGACAATACATCTTTCGACTCATTTCATAATCATCAGAACATCCGTCATAAGACACCATACGAAGTTCCTCCAACGCCTTTGAGGGGAAATACTACCACACCCAACAAAGCGCGGCACATACCTTTGCACAAACTACACCAGCTAGTTCTTCAAATTACGTCGCTGTTCATCCCAAGCCCAAATGGCCCACCTGTATTTGGATCCAGCTCTATCAGAGTTGCTTAACCGAGTCAGTGGTACAAAAGACTTTATAAAGGAGCATTTGGCCCATGAGACACTTCATGATATCAAAATCTTGGGTGGATATTCTGGGAATTTGACCAAATGCAAACTTTCCAACTGTATAGTTGCACCTGATTATCACTACGCCATGGTAGAGTTAAGCGGCTGTTGTGTTGATAAGTGCATACTTGCTGGTGCATACGTCATTAGCAAGTCAATAATTCAGAACACCATACTCTTAAATTGTGAGGTTAAGGGTTCAGAGCTTCGTGATTGCATTATCATCCAAAGCTCTGTGCAAGTCACGAAAGTCGACAATTGCAAGATCAGAAGGGAAACCGAGTTGGACTTAGAACTGACCTTTCCGAGCCTTTGGGATTGTAGTTATTGGGACCAAGATCTGGATATGTTTCCCCTCGATATCGCAGGCCTAAACTCACCATATTACTCCACACCAACCGAGCCCCTTGGGAGACCTACCTTTCGCAAAAATTTGCGTTTTGTCAATTGTGAAATTACAAGATCAGAGACGGGTGAGGCTGAAATCTCATCATCAAAGGTATCTAGTGGACTAGCTTCTAAATGCGAGATCCGCGAAACGATCCTCACGCATCTTACCGCACACAATTGCAGCATCGAATACTCAGAGCTTCGAGGAAGCCGAGTAGAAGAGCCCACCATGGTTCGCTGCCTTCTCAAGGCATGCACGGAAGATGGTCAAATTATCAAATATCGCGCGTCTGGTGTTTGTTTATCAGTTATACCACGGGAAATCAGAACGCAAATCTTTGGATACGTTATTGATGAAGCATGGTACTACTCCAAGATGCCAGCTCTGGTTGTAGCCTTTCGAAATACACCGGAAATTTGCGAAGAAGTATTACATATTCTGGAACAGAAGAACCTTTTCCAATTACGATTTCCAGGATGTTTTGATGATTCCTACCGAATGCCACTTAAATTACTTCGAAGATTATCATTCCTGTATGTTGAACCCCCCTTTACATGTGGAGAGATTTTTAACGTTTATTCTAGAGGCGATAAAGAAGCATTGTACGAATCGGCGGAACAACGATATTTCCCCCCATCCCTTCTCACGAAATATCGAGGCGATTATCCGCGTGTCCCTCAGCTTATAGATTTGCATATGTCAATTTCAGCAAGAGATGAAGCTCAAGTCCAGGCCGATTTTCGTGTCATCACGGATTTTGCAAGAAAGCATTCTTTAGAACGATTCTCGATTACTCATGAAGAGAAGAATGAGCATCATACCATATACCAAGCAGAAATACCGCACAAGGCTGTACTTAGGCAGTACATTTCGAACGAGATTGACAAAATCACTCGCGAGTTGGAGATCGAACCTCGGAGAGAGAGCATGACAATATACGAGCTCAATGTCCATAAGTTACCTGGTGAACCAAATCTTTATATCCCAAAGCATAACTGGGGTGGTTATCAATATACCTGGACTTGGATATCGGATAAAGGCACTGCACTAAAGTGGAAGTATTAAAAGTAGGATCTGCGTGGGCTATGTTACGATTACGGTATTTTTCATCTAGGATGTGTTTCTTTTGTTTTCCCGCGAAATTGTACATGGCTTAGTTTAGGCATAAACAGAATACGATGAACTTTCTTTTTGAAAACATGCCACTGTGTTTATAACTATTTTTTTGATTTGTAATTGAGACACGATAGTGTTAATCTGAAACCATCGCCAGGTTTAGGCGGAGCATTAGCTGACTCTTCTGGTGTATTAAACAATTAATTTGGATGTCATTTCACATAAATTCTTAATCGAGGTAGAATATGTTAGTATAAGAGATATGTTTGTTGGATAAAGGTCCTTTTACTGCAGATAAACGAAGTTGAATAAACGAGTGTGATAATAAGCGTAATAACAAGCGTAATAACATATTATAACAGTGGATGATTATTGTCTGTTTAAAGCAAGTACGAAAACTTTTACGAGTATAAATGCGATCTTTCTACATAACTGTACTTCATGGATAAATAGTGGATATATCGCAATAAGTCATTTTGATTTTATTATAGTAATAAATAGGTTACTTCCATGTTTGGGCGACACAGGCGGAAATTATATTGTCTCGGGCGTACCAAAATTCGCTTACAGTAATCTCCTCCCCCTTGTCCCGCCAAGCCGTTTTTTCGTGTTTAGCGAATCCCTGAATCAAACGCATCTCTTTTTACATAGAGGGAAGTAAGAAGAATCAATGGTCGGAGTCTTAGGCTAAATGTACTATTATCTATAACTAAGCGATTGTTAAGTTTATATAAAATTTTCTAACTAAAGTAGAAGTTATATATAAACACAAATGGCATATACTAAGTAGAGTTTGCTAGAAACGACTTTATACGCACCTAATTAGGCCAGGGACATTCTTCTTGGGACAGGGAGATTGGAGGGGATATGGTATGGTAGGAGATTTCGGTTATCGTTAGCTCAGTGGATAGAAAGAGTAGTAGTAAATAGTTCTCGTATCTTAATTTATCCCAGTTTCGAACCCTCTTTGAGAAAGATTTGATATGGTAGGCTCTCCATTCCTACCTAAAGCACACCTAGTACTACCACTAGCCGCTTGGATCTCTGACCTATGATTGGTTGGCTGAGTTAGAGGTCGGGAGCCAGAACCAGAAACAGGCGAAAAACTACTGTAGCGGCGGAGAACTGTGATTAATTTTATTGCGCAACAGACTCAACTCATCTAAGTATTCTGATTATCTCAAGCAATTGAATAATTCGAATTGAGTAGCTAGAACTCGAATACTTAGAACAATTGGCAGTTATTCTGAAAGAATTGGGGGAATAACTCATGTTAATTTTGGAAACCAGGAAATAGGTGAAAAATGTTAAAACTAATCTTTTCATACCAACTGAATCAAAACAAGAACAAATCAGTTATCAAATTATCTATAAGTGATCACCTGATTTGAGTTGAGCATACTGAATAATATAATCTTACTCCGAGGAAAGTCTCAGCGGAAGCAAAACCTATTTGTACTAAAACCTGACACTCAAGCGTAGTAAAACCTACTCTAATAATGTTCAGAGATACGAGTAAATCATACAAAATCCCGTTCTCTAAATACAACCCGCGGCCCACCTTAACATCAGATCGGCAACTCAACAAGCGAGCCATTCGCCATTACATAACCAGAAAACCTCCTTTCCATGGGCGAAGTATTTTGCAACTCAGAGACACCATGTTGGCCACTCATTTCTGCACGAAATCCCGCGTCCATCTCCAGATGGCGATCTTTCCCATCTACTTCCCATATTGGAAAACCGTCTTTTTCTACTAGTTGCGGCTCTGTCAAGTTGGATACAGATGAATTGTGTTTTGGGGTTGGAGTAGAGAGACGGAGAAAAGCCAGGCGTTTGGTGATGAATGAGCGTGCGTGTGCTGACTTTTTCCAGAGAACAATGATAAGGCAAAAAACCAGAGCGATTGCACTACCGATTGTTACTCCAACTACTGTATTGGTATTGGGGGTGCTATGGGTCGATTTCTGCTCTGGTGGCTCATTCGCTGCAGAGGGAACCTTTGTCGGGTCTGCAAGTGTGTCTTTGGGTGACGCCTTGGGGGAAGCTGTATTATTTTGGGCCACATTGCTGATATTTCGTGACGCCCTGAAAATGAACTCGAGGGCAGGGTTACCCCATGACTTTGGATAATGTTTGGTTGAATCCTGGTAATGTTCCTTTATAATAGAAGAGGGTGTATAGGGAGCTGCATGGGGATCGTCTTCCGTTTTCCAAGCGACCTCCGTCATGTCCAATATCCCCAGTCCATCTGCCCAAGGATCTTTGTGCGTGACGTTATTTTCGATGATACCGCCTATGCTAAGCATCTGTCTGCTTCCCATTACTTCACGTTGATGATCCAGGCGATTTGTTACATCTACTGGAGCTTTAAACCATTCAAACGCTGGGAGTGTAAGTATATATATAGCACTGAGATCAGGAAGAGTTTTTGGGTCTAGAGGATGATTGATAGAAGAAGTTCTTTTGCCGCCGTACATAAATCTGTGGCCATTCTTATGTTAGTGATATCTTTGTATTTTGTTTGGAGTATGAAATCATCAAACATACATTTCCCACGTAGAATTGTCACTTGCTCCAACTCCAACCGCACAGAATGACACCCTAGAAACGGGTATCGAAGTCCCAGTGGCCGGTTGGGAGTAGGATTGGCCACTGGAGACATCAAATATTGTGATTTGGGACATGGGCTGCAAGGACGAAGCCATCTTCCAATCTTGACTAGTAGGCGAGTCACCACCAAGAAAGATGATTATACCATCTTGTCCGAATATTGGCACAAAGACTCCTTGTCCCACCACTGAAAACCCCTCCTCATAACCAGCCATCCCAACAGTGCTCGAATTGCTCCATGTCTGATTCCGGAAGTCATACTTGACTAAGCCTGAGATTGCTATGGACTGTGTGGTTAGTAAATGATATATTTTCATTATTTCTTTCCAGGGCTCTGGCAGCGTCAAGCGCCGAGCCACATCGGAGGAATCATCTTCTTGGCTAAGGCCGATATAGAAGCTACGAAAAGAAGAGAGAAAATATTGACCTGGCCTATACCCTCCTATCCCAGTTACAGCAGGGTCATTCGCGTAAGATATATACCCGCCAAGGGAGTAATATGCCGTTGCGGTGGGAGCGTATGCAGATGAACAGAGCTCAGTAAACCCCGAGAAAGATTAATCTTGCTCAGAGATTCTGCCAATGCCAGCAGTATACTTAGCTTGCCATTTGACATTTCCTTCGTTTTCTATAGGGAATCCCCAAACCGTGGGAAAGTTCGTCTTGTTTTCTGCATACGGCTCACCTCCATACCAGTAGACCCAATCGTTGATCGAATCATAACACATTGTTGGATTTCGAGCCTGCATTCGAGTTCCAGTGGTTTGTGGAGTAACAACAGGTGATACATCGCTCGTCGTCCACGAGGTTCGCAAGTCAATAGAAAGTGTGAAATTTACTGCCACTTTTAGCCAGAAGAAACCCAAGCGCGAAAGAAGAATAAAAACCTCGTCTGGAGTTACTTTCGTTGGACACTTGTATCTCTCCTGCATCGATATACAGCCAGTCTTTCGCGACAACAGCTTAAATACTGTCAAATCAGATTGAGGAACATGGAAGAATCAAACTCACAACCCTGAGAGAACCAACAATTGAAGTCGGCTGGAATGAACGAAGCTGAGACATACTCGCCAAAGATGAATAGTGCGAAGAGTACATCAAGCCTGCACATATTGACAAAAGGGCATCTACAAATTACTTACCACATAGAATGGGCCTCCAAGCGAAAGAGATTTATAGCCGAGAGGTGCGCAAAAGAAGAAAAAGAAAAACGCAAGATACAATATGTGTCCGTGATTTGTGGAAGACTCGTGGGACTGTGAAGTACCTAAATATCTAAGTATCTATCCCTCTCACAGATACCCATCCTTCCGGGAAAAAAGCCTCAATTCTTTTTCAGGGGTTTCTTTTCTCCTGCGTATGTGCGACCGCACAAAACTATCTGGTCCTCAGCGAAACAATCTTGGGGTCCGAACAGCAGAAATGATAACGCAAATTTGTGGCACAGAATAAGTCTAAATCAATAACTAGAACGCGAGAGGGGTCGTCGAAATATTTCAATAAATATCCAATCAACACCTTGGGTACGTGTTATCCAAAAGATTACTTCCGACTTCTCACCGTTGCATAACCCAAAGATTTCAACCTTTCTGGAGGATAAGATTTGCGCCTCATCTCTCCGGCAAGGCATAACAGGTGTTTAAGTATCGATACGAGTACCTAGGCAGCCATTTAAAGATCCCAATCACACTGTAGCAGAATTACAAACTGGTTTTCGAGGTTGGTCCTGTTTTCGTCGTAGCGTACCTGCGAAGGCCAACACCTTCAGCCACATGAATTTAACCGCTTGAAATTGGAGGATGCACCAGCGCATGCTAAAACATTATAAAATTCGCGGGGCTGAGTTGGAAGTCGAATAGGAGAGAAGAGGGAGAATTGTTAAACCTTCGTCTCAGCTCGTCGCGATACATCTGAATTGAGAAAAATGAAGGGGAATTTGAGTTGCAGAAGGATCGATCAGTTTTGGAATCAGTGCTTCCCGGGATCCCCACCCTCAGATTTCCTGTAACGCGAGAATGTCACGTTTTGGTAGCAACGAACCATATCGGCAACATATCGATATCGAATAAGACCTTCGTGTGGATCTTATGCATATTCAAGCATTCCGAAGATCTACAGTAGTGGTTGCCCAATAGAATCTAAATGCGATATTCCAGGTTCAATCATTCCAGGTCCTCACTGCTTATATCACGTGACTATTTCACCCTCGGGTAGACAAGAAAGTAAAATAATTTATAGAGGGGGGGTATCAATCTATATATTACATTAATAACAGAACACTCATATTTTTATTGCCCAGAAGTCAATCGCTATGCGTGAAGAAGCACAAATAACCAAGCTATACTCAAGTTGCCTTGCCGGACATGACAGGCTCACTTTCTACACTTGTTCCACTCGCAATATCCGTCGAAGCCCCCTTTTCCTTCTCACTTTCACTCAAACCACCCTCGGATTTATTCTTCAGACTCTTCCATTCCATGAATACACCCCCCAATATACCCGCACTCGACAATCCAACCGCCAACTTTAGCGTATTCATGAGAGCTCCATTATAAGCATTTAGAGCCTGCGGTAGCATATCAGGAGGTACGACATTGCGAAGCTCGGTCGCGCCAGTGTTGATGATTTTAGCAGCGTTGACATTTGAGAACTTGCTGAAGTTTGCAACAAGACCATGATTGAAAATCGTTTGCGCAACGGACACCCATATTGCTCCACCGAAGCCCTGCCCGAAAAATATGAGAGATACACCGGTCATGACGTCTTTGTTATTGAGAGATGTTTGAACGGCCAAATTAGGTTGTTGCATTCCAAGTCCTAGTCCAAAACCGAAGAGAAATTGGTAGCCGATCCATTGGGCAGAGGTACTTTCTGGTGTTAATGTAGTGATAAGACCAATGCCCTAGTATAATTGTTAGCATGGGGCAGTTGGAATCAAATACATGACAGGAAACTTACTATCGCTGCCAAAACGCTGCTTGCGAGAAGTTGACCAACATAATATCCCGTCTTCTGGGTAAGGGCTCCAGCAATGATACTGGCAGCAACCAGTGACAAGACCAACGGAAGAGTATCGATTCCAGATCTAACAGCTGTAGCTCCCTTGATAGCTTGGAACCACAGAGGGAGAAAGTAAATTACGACCATCATAGCACCTGGCGAAACCATAGTGAAGTAGACGGCCGCCAAAACACTGCGTTGTTTGATGATGCGTATTGGAACTGTCGCGTTATCACCACTTTTGAATTGAATGAGGACGAAGACGGAAAACAGAATGCCCCCTAGGACAAATAGCAGAATGATACGCCAGTTGGACCAAGGGTAGGTTGCTCCACCCCATTGCAAGGCCAAAAGAAGACACAGGATAGATGGCAAGAAGACGAGGGTGCCCAAAGGATCGAGCTTCTGCACTCTTACAAAAAGACAATCCGTGTTTTTGCTTGGAGGTGCCTGCAAGATGAAGAGAATGATGGTGACCACCACAGCTCCGATGGGAAGATTGATGTAAAAACACCATCTCCACGAGACGTTCGTCGTGAATGCTCCTCCTACAAGTGGACCAAGGACTGATGCAACACCAAATACAGCACCAAAAACCCCCTGATACAAAGGTCGCTTATTCAGAGGCACCGAGACCACCATAGTGATAATTACACCACTAAATATCCCAGAAGATCCAAGCCCGGCTAGAAAATGTCAGCTAAGTAATCTTGTTGTTTACGGACGGGATGACGTACAAATCGCACGCCCAATAACAAAGGCGACGGAGTTTGGGGCAGCGCCACAAACCGCACTTCCGATTTCAAAAAGCAGAATGGACCAAAGCAGAACCCATTTGGGGGAATAGTAGGTATATATTCTTCCGAAAATGAGCTGGAACGAACACATACAAATTAGGTACGCCGAAGCATACCATCCAATGTCGTCAACACTGTGAAAGTCGTCGGTGATTTTGGGAATTGCAGTTCCTATGATAGTACGATCGAGAGCTACCAGAAACATACAAAGATAGAGCGCAGTCATGATCAAGATCAGCTTCTTGAAGGTTGGGTACACGACTGCCTCTTCTTTGCTTCCAGGTGGTGTAGTAACTCCCTTTTCCATATCGTTTTCGGTCGAAATTTCGGATGCTTTGGTTGAATCGGACATGATGAGGTGACGTCCGGAAGGACTGAAAAATTAAATTACAATATGGTGATAATACAAGAAGAGGGGGTATTTGAGAACATAAAGAATTTACTTGAACTGGAAATCGAAGTCATGGGAGGGTAACACGTAAGTAATATATGAAAATGAAAAAGGAACTACCTACTTACGCCGCTGCGCCTTTCGGCGAGCGAGTATTATTGACTCCAGCTCTGGCTTCAGGGTTGGCGGGTGCTTGAATTCCGCGAGAGGGATAGGCGCCATCGCAGAAAGATTGCACGCAGTCCAATTTTGACACAATAATAATGACTCGGTATCAAAGCAAGGGTTGTGTTGGCTTCGTTTAGTCCTATTTGGATGGAAGGATTCGTGAAATTTTGCCCTCGTGCTGGTGCCCGCACGGCTCGGAAGTTGGTTCGGTCCCGAGAGTAGGGACCTTACAGTAATCTTACAGGACTTTCTTACCCACTCCCAAATTCCCACATTGTGAATGCCCATATTTGGTCAGTATTCGGTACTTAGGCTTTTTGAATTGGTCTCCGAATCTTCTTCCTTGAATATGGGTGAAGTATATCAGAAAGTCCCCAATATTCTGCTGTCAATACCTGCTACTTCCTGCACTCGAATGCCTCATAATCAAGGCGCTGGTGGGCGAGTAAGGTTAAGATATGAAATCCGAAGGCCTGAGCAATCAACAGGAACAGCCCCACAAAAATGTTGAGTAAGGCTGTTTTGCCTGCTTCTTCCAGCTCTGCGGAGCCAACTTTGAGTGCCCCCTCCCTGCCATCCAAAAATACCAGAGGACATAGTTGTGTGCTCTGTCAGCGACGAAAGGTCCGCTGTGACCGACAGAAGCCATGTTCTAATTGTCTCAAATCACGAGCCGAGTGCGTTCCGAGTGCTCCTCCTCTCCCCCGACGACGACAAAAAAAAGTCACTGAGACAGATTTGTTGGCCAAAGTGCGTAGATATGAGCACTTACTGAAAAACCATGGGATTCTGACTGAAGAGGATGATGATGCCGAGGGGGAAGGCCCTGGTGCCGAAGAAAAAAGAGTTGAACGTCACGAATACAAGTCCTCTCGAGAAAACGGTGGGCCGCCTCATCAATCGATGTGTATCTCTACCAAGGCTCCAGAAGCTGTGACTGGTGCATTAATTACCAATAAAGGAGAATCTCATTATGTCGAAAAGTATGCCTCTCTAATGACGCAGTACAAAACAATGGCTAACGTATCCAGTACACTCTGGGAGAATTTGAGGGAAGAAATAGAAGACCCAAGGGACATCCTCAACGGATCAGTATGCTCGGATGATGAGACAAATGAGAACAGCATATTTCCTTGTGCAGAATCCTTTCTCGTTGGTCATTCTCCATCTCCACAAATGTTGACCATGCAACATCCACAGCCAGTCCACATTTTCAAGCTCTGGCAAACCTTCCTGGTCAATGTCAATCCCTTGGTAAAGATGGTTCATGCTCCTACAATGCAGCAGACAATTCTCGATGCTAGCGGCGATCTGGAGAATATTTCAAGGCCTACTGAATGTTTGATGTTTGCTATATATCTGCTTGCTGTCACGTCTCTAGCCACAGAAGACTGCGAAAGTATGTTCGGTGATTCGAGGTCAAATCTTACCAAAAAATACTCTCATGCTACTCTACAGGCGTTGATAAATTCCAAGTTTCTAAAGTCTCTGAACATTTCGACTCTACAAGCCTTTGCGTTTTATCTCGTAAGTTTGTTCTCTCACTTGTTCACTTGAACCCTTATAATTTACTCGTACTCTTTGGTTTCCGATGCAGTTCATGATGCTTTCTTTGAAATCCCATAAAATGGACTAACAGAAAATCTAGCTCGCTGCCCAAAAGCTCTACGATGCCCACTCTATGTGGGTTCTCACAGGATCTGCGGTCCGCATATCTCAAAGACTTGGCCTTCACCGCGATGGTTCTCGTTACAAAATGTCCCCGTTTGATGCCGAAATGAGAAGACGGACATGGTGGCAGATTGTCTTTCTTGACTCGATTGCCTCGAAGTTTGCGGGAGCAGGCTTCCCCATGTGGCTCACCAAATTCGACACAAAGATTCCTCTGAATATCAGCGATAGCGACTTGAGTCCAGCCATGAAAGACCCGCCTGTTGCCAAAGATGGGGCCACAGAAATGATGTTCTGCGCTCTTCGATTTGCGGTCGGTCAGTTAGTCCGAGACCATGTCAGTCAATGGCGTGATGCAATCGGCAATCCGGACATGATTGGTAAGAAACTCAAGACAGTTGATGCAATAGAGAAAACGTTGAACGAGAAATTCATTCGTTATTGCGACCCCTCGATTCCCTTACACATGCTCGTCGATTATACTGCCAAAAGCGTTGTCTGTTCACTGAAAATCATGGCCCGCCATCCACGGCAATTTCCAGATAAAGGGGCCAGTATGTCGCAAGCTGATAAAAATATCTTATTTGACTTAAGTTTACGGGAGGTGGAAATTTACAATTTGAGCCAAAGTGTTCAAGCTATTCGCGGCTATTCTTGGCATGTTCAACACTACTTCCAATTGGACGCATTCATCCATATCCTCAGCGAACTTGGAAATCGCATTCTAGGAGAAGAGGTGGAGCGCGCATGGAGAATAGTCCAGCTTGCATACGAGTATCACAGTGACATGATCACCAATACTAAAAATGCACTCTTTTTCGCAACCGGAAACTTGTGTTTAAAAGCATGGCGGAAAAGGGAAGAAGCAGGACTTGCAACACAAGGCACATATCACACCACGCCACCTCCCTATATCTCACAGCTACGTGAGCAAAGGAGCGGTTCCGACCTTTCTCTGCCTTCGAAAGTCACTCGTGTTGAGGAAGCCAAATCCTCAACAACTCAAGGATTGGAGTATCCAACTAACATATCACGACTGAACAATCATACCCAACTAACCAATCAGTACATCGGCATGATTGACACCGGTTATTCGGACGTCGAAATGCCAGAGATCACGCAAGATGACTGGATTTATTGGAACACTATTATGGATGGAGATCTTCCAGCTCATAACAGCCAAGATAGTCCATATTTTAATTGAGTATTCATTAAGAAAAAGGGAAAAAGGTTCCAAGTATCGGTATTCGCTTCCGGCAGGTGTACTTAATTGGGCGGCCATGATTCTGTTTGCATCTCAAATCGCTACGTCTCATTGGATATATTATTCGTCACCATGCATCATCACATGCAAGCCCCATATAATCCTATTCAATAAGCTCAAAGGGCACTCACATCTTATCGGAGCCCAGCTTTCGTCTGGTGATGCCCCGCGTTTGTGGCACTAGGTTTCAATTGGGTTATCTCGACTGACCGAATCTGCGGCATCCACGGAACGTACGAGTACGAGGCTGCAGTTGCAGGTGAAGTCGGGCGATAACCTATGTGGGAACACGGAAGTTTCTTCAGACGAACATAAATCGAAGAAGATGTCCGGAAGTTAGATTGTAGCTTCTCTCCTTGAACATTTTCCAATCTATCGTGGGCGGGGGTTGCTAGAAGAAAGGACCTACTGTTACACGATTTCCGGAGCAATTGTGCAACAGAAAACCAACAAAATTATGGCACCACTTATCCAGCCTCATCATATTCCAGGCTCCCTTCATAATCGACAAAATTCCGGAGCCGCACCGCAAGTAACTATCGTCGTTACCCGCGGTCCCAATATCTACACATCAACAATCCAATTAGGATCCAACCAAAATACCCCTCCTCCCCAAGCAGCCCCCACTACAGCTCCCGATTCTCCACATACTACCCAAGCTCCTCCAGACCCACAGCCAACCTATCCACAAGTCATGCCCGTAGGTGAGGACACCAATCGGGAAGTCGTAGCAGGCGCTGTAATAGGCTCCATCCTCGGTTTTGCTGTTCTCCTCTTCCTATACTGGCGTTGGCGTATTCACTTTCAAAATCAATATTATGGTACAGATACAGATAGCTACTACGACTCTCGTTCTCGATCATCGGATTCATATTACTCTTCCGAAATGCGACAACGGGGTGGTGGAGGGAGTGCGTGGGAAAGACAACATAATCGAGTAAGGAAACCGGCCCGGGTGAGAAGGAGTGCGAAGAGTCATCGTCGGACAAGAGATGGTGATATGGGGTTGAGGTTCGATGTTAGCGATACTAGCAGTGAGAGACGGGCGGGGCATAGAGTGCGAATGAGGAGGAGTATTAGAGAGGGTGATAGGCGATGGACTTGTTGCAATATATTCTTTGGGCCGCCAAAAAGGAGCAGAGGGCCCTCAATTCATGCTTGGGGCAGTAATAGATATGGAGACAGTAATTGGGGCGAAAGCAGAAGGTCTGGGAGGAGTGAGAGGAGCGACAGAGATAACATGTCGACGATTGATGATTGATGAGGTTCGTAAAGAGTATGGTCGTCTGAGCGTTGCTAGTTCTTTATTTCCTTTGTGTTCTTGATACCTGATACCTTGTTTTTTTATGCTTGTGGAATTCTATAATGTTGTCGTTTGTTTGAAAGGCATGACGCAGTCTCTATCGCAGCCTCAGACAAGCTCCATATATTTATCGTTTACTCCTTCCCTTTTCGTGTTCAGGTGTTTGGATGAGTTTTTGGTCGGTGCAATTTTCCTCTCATTTTTATATGACTGAAGAGACCATCTGTCAATTTTCCTTTTTGGCTGTAAGAGGATGTCGTAGAATGAAAGTTTCAGATGTATGTTAGTTATAATGGGAAATACTATTGGGTTAAGAAATTACTGTATAGTGTAAGAGACGTAGTCGCTACTCTATATCCACCTCTCTGTGAGAGGCCAGACCTTGAACAACTCAAAGGTGAGGTTTCGAATATTCAATTAAGAAGTGCGGGAAGACTACATACATGCAAGCCCTTCCTCTATATATAGAGAGAGGAAGAGTCTCTGGAATATTCCAGGAAGCTGCCTAACGAATACATGATGTCAAAAGAATAGAACAGAAAAGTATGGAACAGCAGAGACTTGCTTGGCAGTGGGGGAATGGCCAGTGCTGAGCGGGGACTTTGGCCAGTGCTTAGCGAGGGCATGGCCCGAGCCTCCATCATGGGTTTCAACCCTCACACTCTCTTAGAATAAAATTATTCTAAAAGCGTCGTATAACTTAAATAGTCATACAAAGTGCTTAGAATGATTTTTACTCGCTACTTTTATTAGCTAGGTATAGTAAATAATTATCTTACTTGTATTACAAGTTTGGTATAATAACATTCTATATAATTTGTACAGAGTAACGACCACGCTCTTATCTATATATTTGTCTCGTCACAAATTAGGCTTTGGATGATAACAGCGACAGCAGTTCCTAGTAGAACTCAGGTTTCATTCTTTCTCTTGCAATTGTTCTTATAATTGTGCCGTTTGAAAGACTAGAACGCGGTAGGTTGTTCTTTTATGGTTATTCGACAGCTGGTAATTAAGCTTTTTCTCCAACCACATTCAATCTCCTCAAGGCCAACATGGTCGCAGTATGCGCAGCCTTGCGATATCTGACCGATATACCCGAAATGGAGTAAGCTCAATCCAGACCGAAATTCCGCATGTATTTTCTTTGCAATGAGGAGAGTCACTCAACACACCTACTTACACATTTTAGGAAATGAAATAAGCTGCTTCAGCGGCTAATTGAGCACGGAACCGACCCGATATACAAGGATAAACACAATACATTCCCACCTAATCAAATAGACACTAAGGATTAAACACCACAAGGCCGTGGAGATATTGAGACCTTTGATGGACCCAATGAGGCCGATCCAGTGGCAGTGACCAAGAGCTAATTGCGTCCCCCGTCGACCTACAATAGGAATTCCGAAGTAACCAGCTAGTTCAAGATATAATGTTCTTATCTCTTATTTATAGAAACGTTTCTCAAACATTCTAGGAGATAAAAATCTATTGGTCAGAACTCTAGAGCAGCATTTGAAGGGAGTTAAGTAGAGTAGAGTAACAGAGTATTTTGTTGGAACGCTGTTCTGGAGGAACTTAAGATATCTTTCCTCAATTCAAGCTCCACTTATCTCCTAAAGTCAAGTCACTTCTATCGTTCAGTACTTTCACTTATAGTCCCCTATTACTACCCACTCAAAGGGTTATAGCGATGTTGTCAGGCTTCTTCGCCTAATACCCATCTGCAAAAGAGGTAAAGCACACCCTCTCAAATTTCAATTTGTTAGTCGCAGACTCATTGCCATCAAATAATATTCTTTCATGATGGAAACCCCGCGCAGAGACAATCGATAGCCTTTTGCGCTGGTGACACGCACAATAGGGAAATGCCAGCCTAGCGTTGTTCCTTGTGTTCTAGTGATTTGTAGCCGATCAGGAGCAGGTACACCTTCGACTTTCTACTCTGACGGTACAGCTCATCCATGAATTGAATGAATTGTTTTGAAATGTTTGAACTAATCAATCGTTTGTTTTCTTATAGGCCTAGAAGCTTGGAATGAAATAAACAATTTAAAATGCCTTGAGGTAGTGGTAATGAATGCTCCAACCCATTTGTGGGTATTTTAGATTGACAATTTGGAAATCTTTAATACATATACCTCCTTCCTCTAATCCGGACATACCCTTCCCTCTTCCCACTATATGAGACTAAAACTCACACCACTTCATTATATCATGAAAGCGATAAGTTACTCGGGCCATACAGGAAAGCCACTCAAAACAGAGGATACTCTCATGCTCACCCATGTGAGGCCCTTACTAATCTCAAGAGGGTTGGTTTGGACTGAAATACAAAAATGTGAAAATCGCCTGTGTCAGGTTGAAAAGAATCTACTGCGCAGACTTGCTGACGTTCGCGTCTTCCTCTGCATAATCATCCTATGCGTAAACTGAGATTTTCAAGAAATCCCAAGAATTATTGAGATTTGCTCATACCATTGTGTTCTCTTCTTACGTAAGCTAGCTACAATATTGGTGTTCCAGAAGAACTTGTATAGCGTAACAGTGCAAGGTCATTAAAGTCAGATGATGTCTGTAAGAACCGGCAAATTGCGGTAACGATAATAGAGTCAGGTTGCCATCTAAAACCCACATAAAGTCATGATGATAGTGTCAGAATCCTTCTCTGCATTGACATCTCCAACATAAAACAAGAATCCCGACCCATAAACCACTCCAGCAACAGCGGCTTGCGACTGGTCAACTGCCGTGGACGGTAGCACTCCCATCAAGGATTGTGTTTTAGCACCAGGAACAGGAACAAATATCTTCTCGTGAGGTTGAGCATTTTTGATGTGTAACACCTTCAAGTTGATGTTCAAAGGGAGAGATTCCTTGCAAACATAGGCCGGAAGACGGCAAGATGGATTGAATTGGAAATCTGTGCGGTGGTAGTAGTCTCCACTACGCCATTGAAGACCAAGTCCTCCACCAAAGAACTTGTCGAAAACATCCATATCGTTAAAGCAGGTGAAATGAAGACCGATGATTACTCGACCGCCCTTGCGAGCATAAGATTTGACCTTCTCTAGAACAGCTTTGTTTTTAGCCTTTGTCAATCCTCGTCTGTGACAATAACTGCCTTCGGGTTGTTGGCTTCGAGATAGCGAATTGCACCATCAGATAATCTGGTTCGTTTGATCTTAGAGACTGCACTGAGAGCATCGATCAGAGAGGTATAGGAGTCATCGAAGAAGGGCTGTAGCGCAAGACTGAGGAGGAGGACCTCTGGGCGCGTGGATCCTGCAGATGCCATGATGTGTTTGATGAGGGTCAAGCTTTCGTGGACGTGAAATGAGGACGCTTATTTTTGAACTGGAGGTGAGGGTCTTGGGAGCTGGAAAGTTAGTTGTGCAATTTCTTGAAGTGTCAGGATACGTACCTTTCTTCCAAATTGGTCAAGGTGATGGAACACGAGATGGAGAGTGACAATGAAAGAATGCCGCTCGAAAGTTCATATGCGTATGTTCTCCTGGTCTGCAAGAGGATACAATATGCCAGGAAAGCTGCAAGGCCAAACGAAAGTATTGTGTCTCACTCTTTGCATCGTCGCTTCCGTTTGTAAGAAGTGGCGGCCCAAACTCGGTACATACAACAAATGACTTTCAAGTAGTTCAAAAAAATTAAAAAAAGGATAAAAAGGAAAAAGGAACAAGCAACAAAAGTAGAAAAAAGCGCAAGAATATGACAAGAATGCGGGTACACCAGGAAAACACCGTTGCCAAGAAGATACTGTATTATAGTTAGTATGGTTTCCGGAATTGAGGTGGTTACCAATGGAAGATTTACATGCATTAATGCTCCAACAATATTGTGTTACTTTCTACAGTACTGAGCCACATTGATTAATGATGAGTCAAATAATGTTAGGTGGGTGGGCACTCTATGAGCTGAACGTTTTATCCGCGCCGAATGTTATAAAAATGCTGCAATAACAACAGAGGAAGCTAGGCTTATCGGGTTCTCTAACAACCCAACAAGACTACTTCTAAGTTTTGGTGCCAAAATACCCAACCCAAGAGGGAATTGTCTACGGAAGTCTTGACTTGTGTTTCCTTGACTGCGAACAGAGTCAAAACTAATGCTTAGATTTGCTAGATTAAGGCATTTGTAATAGCTACCACAGCCTCGCTATACTAATGTGCGGCAACACTAAATATTAAATCAAGAACTTCAGCTGGTTAAATAAGGGAAGTATGAAGCTTGTTAAGCGAAGTTGGCTATTTGGGTGCAACACAGCATTTGGGTGCAACACAGCTCGAAAGTTACAGCCATGTGCATAACTAGTGTGAAAAGTGTGATTTTCAAGAACACAAAAAAAAGTACGAAATCAGGAACTCAGAAATCTGCCCTCCCTCTACCATAGAACAACCACGCTTCTAGGGTTCAAACACTGCAGGGAGATTGAGCCTTAACACTTGAATTGTCGGTGCATCTATTTTTTAAATAATTTAGGAGCGTCGTTTTAGAGGAATCTAAAGAGGGGTGAAAAGTCGATTCTTGCGATCGTGAGGCAGGATGGCGGGGTTAAGTCTTGGTGCGCAAACGAGAGAGAGACTCACGAAAATCGACTTTACGCCCCTTTCTAAAATACTAAACAACCACCCTCCTAGGGCATATTAAAATTCGATGCAGCTGCTAGAAATGTGTTAATACTTTTTTTTTTCGAAGGATTTTATCCCTAAACGCGTGGTTGTTATATTGTATAGAGGAGGTCACTTCGTAGGTTTGACGTTCGCACTTTTTTCGATGTTCTCGGCTGCCCGCGTTTTTGACACTAGTTATGCACACAGCTGTAGATGAAATGAGAAAACCGCTCTCTTGAAACCATTCACAAAACCAGGACTCAAATTACAGGAAGATTGCTACAGATATCATTGAATTAAAGCTAGGATCCACTCATGGCAAAATCTCACCTCTTAGCCTACCAAAAATACTTCTTCTTAGCCCCTTTCCCTTGTGGGGCGTCTCAGCTAATCTTTGGGTATAAGTAATAAGCTATATATAAGTAAGAAAAATATATAAGCTATATAAATTCTTTACGTACTATCTTAAGTCTCTAGTTACTTAGATATTTTATAGTAAATTTATATTCTAATTAGGCGAGGGAAGGGAAGGGGGAGGAAGGGGGGGTCGTCGAAATGCTAGACACCCTAGCGTCGATTTACCGAGTCCCGTTTATAATAGCCGAATTTCTAGAGTTCTAAGCTCTAAAAACTCTTCTAGTACTTTATAACACGACAGGTCCTTTATTATTACCTTTAAGATACAGTTCTCTTGTTTTTACTAATAATCTCATTCTGTTATCCCTGATTATGTTTATCTTTTAAACTTTTATACCTCGCTTGCGTTACTCGTCTAACTCGGCGTTCGTGGATTAGTTTACAAGGAACGTCTTAACATGGTGAAAAACAGCGGGTAGAGGATAAGGTAGGGCTTCTAGCCACTACTTAACGGAAATTGTGTTGGCGTTTGGATTTGCGTGAAGTCCTAAGAGGTTTCCTTCTTCTCCTAGTCCCTGTTTTTACTTGCTTGGTAGGGCTTTGTCCTTTCCCTGCTCGTCATGTTTGCTTCAGCTCTCCAATTCCAATATAGAAAACTGCTTGCTCAATAATCAATTCAACCAAGCTTGTATAGAAGTCAGCCCTGCGGAAGTAAGACACGTCACTCGAGGTGCATGAAAGCACAATCAGTTGAAAATTCCCCCGCATATACAATTTATTGATGAAGCAGGTAAATAGATTTCAGGAACATTGTATGAGAAGATTTGTAAGCGAGAAGCGAATTGTTGGTTGCCAATTGAAGCAGAAGCCTGCTTGGGATAAATTGGAGGCAGACATCACTTTCCCAGCCAACGCACTAGTTGTGACGACATATCATGACTGGCAAACTTTAAACCTCATACTACCTATCATGTCTTCTTATCATTATGTTGCTGCTCCATGTGCAGAAACATGGTCCTAGAAGCATGACTTGGGCCCAAGTTTGTGCAGCACATGAAAATCAAGCTTCTGGAATCAAGCCGCCAAAGAGCGGGAGCAAACAGAAGGCAGCCTCGCTCGTCCCTATATCTCTAAGTTCAATTCCCATCTGATCAACGTTGATATCAGGAATCTGTTTTATGGGGAAGTTAACCATGGCATCCCCTACCATCAGTGAGATTCTTCGATCGGATCTTCACAAACTCCATGCCCCTTCCTCAGCTTCAATCACCAACATCCAACAACTTTCCTCTTACAATTGGATTGAGGCACCATCTGGCAAACCTACAATTGCAATACCTGGCTGCCCGTCTCTTTGGACCTCTCCAATTGGTTCGAAAAGATTACCAAAGGATCATGGTCGTGTTTACATTGCCCAAAATGCATATCGTCACTCACAAAGTCCGCTTGAGCCACTTTTCCGCGCTTTGTACTTCAGCAATCCTTCGTATGACATTCGTCAAATTGATATTGTGACGGACCGTAACAACATTCGTAAACTTCTCTCTTACGTCAAGGGCGGGGTTAGATTGGAAGCTTTTACCTTCAAGGTCGAGATGGTAGAAAAAACAGCAATCTTTTGCCGAGAGGAGACTCGAACCTATGAGGATATTGGACCACATGATTTCAGAGGATACGGACATGAGTTTGAGAAGGCGTACACCAAGAATGAAATTGAGGAAAGCACAGGCCACCACAGAGTCATATCTTATCGCTTTGGAAACCTCAATATCATCGTTCGCCATGAAACAGATGGGTACACGAAACCAAATGCGTTGGAAAGCAATGAATAGGTCAACGATAGTCTATCTAGCATATTCGAATCTCTATCTGTGTCTCCTTCAAAAAGCGTCACCACTATGCCCGCAGGATCAGTACTGCATATCAAAAATGAAGGACATTTAGTTCCGCTTGAATCAACCCTCGAAATCAAAACCCGGGTCTTCCACAAGCCTCTCAACTTCAACGACATCGCGCCGCAGCTCTGGGTGTCTCAAACTCCCCAGCTCGTACGAGCATACCACAACAAAGGAACTTTCAGTGAGGCGAGGGTTGAAAATGTAGCTACTCATGTCAAAAAGTGGGAGGAAGATAATCAAAAGGATCTGGTGAAGATGGCGGCGCTGTTTGAGAAAGTAGTTAGCTTGGTGAGAGAGAGTGGTGGAATTGCTATGGTCAGATATGACGTTATTAGAAATAGCTTGGTGGTTCAGATGTGTGGGGATGAGACCAAAATGTTGCCAGAAGATTTGTATAGCAAGTGGAAAGATGACAAAAAGTCAAAGGATAGCGGTACTGAAGGTACTGAGACATGAATAGATGGCCCCTTGGCCTTCTGCCAAGGCGGGTCCATAGTTTGTTAAGCGAGGTTTTAGGGGAAGAATTCTTCAGAGTATCAAATTCAATATCTTGCATTACTCCATTCACCCACAGTATTTATTCACAAATGTTTCTTCTTTTGAAACTTGTGATACAAATGTAAATGCCGACTAGTAAGACTGCTCTCTCCTTGGCTTTCTTGGCAATGATTTTGGTTTCGTTGTTTTGATATAGTGGCTGTGGGGTTCACTTGTCGAAGTTTATACCTGGGTTGGGAAATCTTTTGCGACTGGCGAGCTGGGTTTATAAGTATCTGATTGAAGTCTGAAATATTGAAAAAGGAATACTAGAAGCTGCGCGTGATAGTTCACGAATGTTTAGTGTTCCAAATAGTCAAGCTGGATATTTGTTAAAGATCGGCATTGCCGGGAGGCGGACCACCTGACAACACTTTATGCTCAATGTAAGATATGCTGAGTATGTAAGTATGTTGGAAAGTAGGGATTAATATAGGAGATCTCACAAACACTAGTGATGCCAGAAAATACTAAAGTGCATTCATCATATCATAGTCTGGAATTAAACTGCAACAGAAACTGTGGAGACAAAATTAACTATAGCGAAATAGAAACAGAATAGAAGATCTCTGACCAACGAAATAAAGATCTTAATTTCAAGCCAAGGTTGTCGTTATATCACAGTAAAGAGCGATGAGCGAAAGTGGCTAGATATAGATTTCATAGCACCTCTAATTGATATACATAATTCTTCATTTCTTCCAGACTTATGGCAGCCTTCCTGAAGAGAAAAAGAATTCTATTACCACCACAGAAATTGTACCCTATGGTGAGCATCGTGGCAAATTTCCAAAGACAAAATTCTGTTAAGCGAGAATTAAGGGGAAGCTCCACAACATATCATATCCAATCAAAGTCTCACACCAAGCTTTGGTATCCAGATTCCATTTCTTCTTTCCAAAGTCTGCTCAAGTTCTCCGTATCATATTTGCAGCAATTCATTCTGTCTCCAATGCTGACCAAACTTCCATCCTGCCCCTGAGCGTTTCATGGCTGCTCCTAGAACCCGCTAGATCTCCGTAGGATGATCGCCGGTCTGCGCATCATTAAGTAGAATAGTTTTTGTTCCAGTTTCAACATTGGAAGGCTGCATTTATTGGCTCGCACCGTTCAATTGCTCTGAAAGGGGCTTGCACTTACGAGCTTCAAAAGTCCTCAGTGAACTTGGCTTTTAGGAGCCTCTCAGAGATGCATCTTCACCTTCACTAGCTTGAATGTCTGGTGGTGGCGGTGGTGGTAGTGGTGGCTCCCGCTCTGGTTCCGGTGGTTATTCTCCTAGGGGAGGTTGTGGGGGATCATACGGTGCCAAATGATCTTCTCTAACGTATCTAAATCGAGGGTTGCCATTCTCGGGCCATTGAATAAAGTAGTACCATCTTCTTGTCCCTCTTACTGCTCCAATCACCGTGACGACATTTTGCCCCCATAGTACCTGGGTCCCATCGGCATATGTCCGCGGCTGTGTAATAGTTTTAGCTTAGACTTGCTTGGGTTTGAGGGGATGTGGAAAGGTATGGAGAAATTTGAAAACTCACGGGTTGTAGGGTTCGCCAGGCTCTTACCTACAGGTTGTTGCATGGTGGAGGATTTCCAGGATTTCCTGACATTTTGCGTAATTCTTTGGGAGTGTTTTCGAGACTTATGGTTAGGTCAGAATATGGGTTAGTGGGAACAAGCCAGATTTATAAAAGACATTACAGATTCTTAGTAACGCCAGAACCCCCCCGAGATCGCTTACCATACCCCCATTGAAGGACTTGGTATAGAATCGATACCCAACAAACAAGCATGCCTCTCGAAGAATTCCAAGAAACAAAGAAAGAGATTGTTCATGAAAGCAGAAATAAATAACAGAAACCCCATCCAATAATCTAACAAGAAAACCAAAGATCTTACCTGCATCTTAACCCTCCCAAATAACAAACTGCTAAAATAACTCGCAGAAAAGTGGAGTAAAGGTGGAGCAATTCTATTTCAACCATTTCTCTGTAAATAAAATGAAGACGTTTAGCCAACCACGTCAAGTCTCCAAGAATTTGAGCCTCACTTTAACCTAGTTAAGGCGTCGTAGATACTTGTGTCTACTTTAAATGCACGTTTCTGTTGGCACTATTTTGTCTGGAAGGGATAGAGTACTGATTCTTCTTAAGATGTTCCTCGCTTAACCAAGAAAATTTCAAGCAAACGAAATTCTCTTTGACAACAAGCCTATCACCACTTACTCCATCAACTTGCTAAATGACAGTTTCTCTGGGATCACAAATATGTAAAACTGCCTACCCTCCCCCCCAGAGATTAGCACATATTCTAGGTTGTACTAAAGAACGATACCCGGAAGCTAAGTTGTGCAGTAAAAACCAGCGCAAGGGTATTTATTGCAAATCGATGAGTAGCATCATCGCATTGAGTATTATAGACACAGATGGTCCTATAGTCCTCAAACTAAGTGTATTAGAAATTTGAATGCTTCTTACCTCGAAAATATCCTCGTGGAATATATTGCTATTCACTTCTCATGTCTGGTGTTACAATTCAACCTGTATTCACTTCCAAGGAACTCCAGGGGTTTCTAACTAGTCCATACCACGCCTATAACACGTTGGGATCATCATCAATTCACTCAAAACTATGACAGTGAAGGGGAAGATCTATTCATACTTGTCTAGAAACAGGTGAAGTCCAATTCCTAAAGGAGTGAACTTTTCTATCCTCGATTAATTCACTCACGTTCTAACAGGCAGGCAATGGACGTCACCGACCGCTGATGTTCGTACAGATTTGATGTTGAAGTGAAGAGTGGATAGAGTACACTCGATTCCAGCATCCCCGATTCTCCAAATAAGCTTTCGAGCTCGGAGAGAAAAGCGGGAATAAATGAGTATGGGATGGAATAAGCATTGCCAATATAATACCCCATCTAAATCCCGATATCAGCAATGATTAGATTGCCCTAGAACCGTAGAGCTAGATGAATCACTTACTGAAAAGAAAAAGTGAGAAGAAAACTTTGAATCTGAGTTTCCAAAGTTGTACTCATCGGAGGAGCCAATCTCGGGGTAAAAACGACCTACGATTCCTCTTACAAAGAATTTTTGAGGGGTATGAATTACTACAAAGACTCGACGACTCCAGGAAGCAAACCAGATTGCATCGAAACTTACTGTACTGAACACCCCCCTAAAAAGTGCTGTTACAGGTCATATTTCAAAGCCAAACACAATAATATCCAGCTGTACACCTCCGTACAGCCTCGGACTTTCACAAGGCAAATTCACTACCACCAAGCCGCCAGGTACAAATATCCAAAGTACCACATTCGTCATTCCGCACAAATCGAGGAAGTCGATACCCACACGGCGAACCCACCACAAACGAGCAATAACCCCCGCCAAAGCCAACGGCACCATTCCCAAACGAGACACCGTTCACCAAACACACCTTATCGCCGCCGCTTGTGATCGCGGGAAGCTTCAAGCATCCTCGCACCCGGTTACCCCATGGATAGGCTGGAATGGGACGCGAGAAGTGATCTTCATTTCCCCTCATCCCGTCTCGTTGAGCATGATAGGATTTGGAGCTGAGAATTCTATCTTTTCATCTGATTTTGGGGAATCATGCTCCACTGAGTGAGATGCGATGAGAAAGAACGAGGTGCCGAATCGCAACTGGACTACCCGCTTCACTAAGCTAAGCTGCCGCAACGCCGTTCCGCAATCTTGGGCTTGGTACAGTACCCGCCCGGAGCCCTGAACCCGGTCCCCAGATCGCGTCTAAGTTCCATCGTGATGGCGCCGAGTGAGAGGAGGGAGCAGAGCACCATTGAGAGTGCAGATTCGAAGAATGGTGGAATCGACGAGAAGGAGATAAATATTGGACGACAGATTTCATCTTCCACCAATTCAGGATTGGAAATCACCGCGATTGACGACGAGAAAGCGACGGCGCTGCAGACAGAAGGACAACCAGACGAAGCGAAGAAGGTTTCAACGAAAGGACAACAGACAGAGAGGAAAGAGAAGGAGAATAGCCATCCTGCGGGGTGGACTATTATGCGCCCATTGCGCATGCGAGCTATGGGTGGTGGGAAGTCGAAAAAAGACGGAGGGGCCACGACAAATGCGAATGGGGAAGCTGTGATGAGGAGTAGCAGCGAAGACGATGCGGACGCGACGAAGGATTTCAAGACTCTGGAGACAACGGGGACCGGTGGTTCGAGAGGACTGGGTGAGGTCGAGGTAATGACGGATATGAGGAGTGACGATGGTTTGCTCGAGGACGAGAACGAGAACGAGAGGTTTGGCGTTGCACCGACCCAGCGAGCGAACGCACACGAAGCTGCGGTGGATGGTGTCAATGAACGACAGGGTCAAGGGGATACGACAGTGTATAAGGTGTATAAGAGGCGCTGGTTCGGGCTTGTGCAACTGGTTCTGCTGAATATCATCGTGTCGTGGGATGTGAGTATTTCTCCGGCTCATTGGTTTTTATGCAACGAGATATTTTCGGAATTGACATTGACTCTTGTGGAATAGTGGCTCTCCTTTTCAGCCTCTTCGAAGACGGCATCCGAGTACTACGATATCAGCGAATCTGCCATCAACTGGCTCTCTACCGGCTTTCTCTTTGCATTCGTTGTCGCCTCTCCCTTTACCATCTACACCCTCCACCGTGGAGGCCCCAAACCTTCAATTGTTACGGCTTCAGTGCTTATATTGCTGGGTAACTGGATTCGATATGGTGCTACAAGATCCGGAGAACATGGAAACTTTGGAGGGTTGATGTTTGGTCAGATTTTGACCGGCATTGCTCAACCCTTCGTGCTATCTGCGCCAACGAGATATTCGGATTTATGGTTTACAAATAGGGGAAGAGTTGCCGCTACGGCCGTTATGAGTTTGGCAAATCCATTTGGAGGAGCTTTGGCGCAATTAATCAACCCGTTCTGGGCAACAAAACCTTCTGAAATTCCGAATCTGGTTTTGTACGTTGCCATTATCGTAAGTCTCACATCTACTTTATACATATCTCCAGCAACTAACCAGAAAACCAGTCATCAATAGCCTCAATCCCTGCATTCTTCATCCCCTCCCACCCTCCAACACCAGTTTCCCATTCGGGAACAGTTCCCAAGAACCCTTTGATCCCCTCCCTCAAAATCCTCTTCACCTCTCCAGAATTCTACATGATCATGATCCCCTTCGTCTTCTACGTCGGCCTCTTTAACAGCATTTCCTCCCTCCTAAACCAAATGCTAGAACCATACTCCTTCTCCGAAAGTGACGCTGGAATTGCAGGCGCTCTTTTGATCGTCGTCGGTCTCGTAACATCCGCAATTACTAGTCCTATCATCGATAAGACAAAGAGCTTTTTATTAGCCATAAAACTCCAAGTTCCTATCGTCGCCCTAGCCTATTTGGCGTTTACATTCGCGCCGCAAACGAGGACACTTGCTGCTCCATACGCGATCCTTTCAATCCTAGGCGCTGCATCGTTCTCGCTCGTCCCTGTGGTGTTAGAGTACATCATCGAAATTACACATCCTGTTTCGCCGGAAGTCACATCCACGATTCTCTGGACCGGTGGACAGTTACTCGGCGGCATTTTCATTGTTGTTAGTGATGCCCTCAAAGCTCCAGGAGGAGAAAGGGATGGGCCGGTGGATGATGGGACCACCCGACCCCCCGGGAATCTGTATAAAGCCCTTGTTTTTCAGTGTGTGATGGGAGTTTTTGTTGTTCCTTTTCCGCTGGCGTTGGGGCTTTTTGGGAGAGGGAGTAAGATCAAGATGAGGAGAATTGAGGCGGACCGGGAGAGAGAAAGGTTGGGGCTTGCTGGTGGGGGGAGGGAAGGAGGGAGTTTGGCTTAGGGTTGACTCGGCTTGATTTTCCTTGGATCTGGATCTAGATCTGGATTTGGATCGTCGGTTTTCTTGGAAATTTTCGTCAATTGGTACGGTACATAAGGTTCCTGGGTTTAATGTGGAGTTGATGGTTGTTTTCTTTGGGATAGACTTTGGGCCCTTGAATGGAGGAGGGTTAGATCCGAATGTGGTCATGTGTGAAGTGGAATGTATACATTTTCTTTCTCGTACATAGCTTGGCTGTAGAGATTATTTATTTAGTACAGTATATACTTGTGTCCAACCAAGTCACCGGGTTTTCTTGTTGGAAAGCTAAATTCCAAGGCTGCACCCTAATAGGTGAGGATTTCGTAAGTGATGACTGGCTTCAAATCCCGGGCACTTCCATGATTCGGTACATGGGATTGACTGAAAACGCATTGGATTCTGAGCAGTTCGGGATAACTGAATCCATACTAAGCACCCGAGTATTACTCAAGACAATCAAGACCATGAATTTTAGTGCTCAGTACTCCTGACAGAACTTCCTCTCATAGGTGTACACGAAGCAAAGACCAAGTTTCTTACTTTTTCGGTACTGTCGCCCACAGCCAATGGGAGGCAAAAGCGTGTCCGAGTAGGATTGATACCTAAGGAGGACTCGTACTCTGAATGTAACATTGATTTTGGAGAGTCTCGAACACATCCTTTTGAAGCCATCGGCTACCTGTTTGCGGGCTATCTCCAGAAATCCCACGCCAAGCAGCCCGATATATCAAGGTCCCTTTTCTCTGCTCTTCCTCGAGTCCCTTGTCCAGGATGCAAGGGGACATCCGCGACCCTCGCGGCCATGCAGACTTGAGGTACAGCTCAGTACAACACAGCGGATGTGATGGCATGCAGGAGGGTATTCGCATTCGTCAGCGTTGCCCACGTTGGGAGCATGTGCGAGTAATTGCTGGAATTGTCAGATTCTGGTTTTGGGGTGCGAGGGGGAAGGGACTCGGTGCAAGAGTTGCCACTGGTGAGGGTACGAAGTTGGTATAGGTGATGAGAGGCTACTTGTACTCCACCACGTTTTTATCTTGGGGATGACGCAGTCCCGGGAGTAGCCGCGTCAAGACTTCTGACTCAAAGTCAATTCCAGCGTCTTCACCACCTGCACCATTCCTCCTGTTCTATGCCCCTTTGGTCGTGTGCATACATCTCCCGTCGACTTACCAGAAATCCCCCGACGATTTTTGCGACTGCAGAAGTCACATAGATACTATACCTAGGTAAGGAGTACTAAGTACCTGCCTCGTCAGGTCCAGATTCAGTGCAAAAACTCTTCCTTGCCCCTGCTCTGCCGTCCACCTGGGCAGCACGGAGCTTCCTCCCCGCCTATTGTACGGTCCAGCCCAGTGCCGGCCGTAGCGTAGCCCAGCGTCCAGTACTCGTGGTCCGTGGAGGACGGTCCATCCTTTGCACCGAGGTCCCTCTACTCCGTTGGTCCCCTGCTCCTGCCTACCATACTTTGCCCTACCCTGCCCTACTCATTCCCCTCCACCGCTCTTCTTCTATACTTTCCTATCCCATGCCGAATGGGAGATACCTGCGAATAACATCCTATCGACAGCCCGCCAACCTGCCAACCTGCCAACCCTCGATCCCACCTTAACTCTCGGGATCTGCCAGACGTTGCTTGCTGGTGTGAGCCCTTCAGAACCCTTCATTCTCCATCCACCCCACCAATACCGCACTGCTCGACGGATCCTGTCGATTGCCCGCCGCAAGGTTACACATCCAAACCGAGCTTTCTGGGCCGCTGCACAGGGAAACGTTGATCCCGAACCGCAACTCCAAGAGATTATCAGCGACCACTTCTATACCGCCATCGACAACCAGCTGGCAGAAAGTCTGATCGACCCCATTTTCCCTTTTGCGACGGTGCCTATCCCGAAAAAGGCACTACGCACCCACTCGTCCCAACTCTAGCCCATCCCTCGAACCATCTCGGCCTGCTCCATCTCCCCAGGGAAGCTTTCCCGCGACCCCACCTCTCCGCATACAGAGCAACAACTGGCTGGAGTGGTCTGTCACTATTTCTCCCCCCAAACCCAGAGGTGCCGTGACGGTCTACTGCAGCCCTTTTTGATTTTATTTATCATGTCGGTCAAGTAAGTCTCAATCTTGTGTGCACTCTCATTCTTCTTCCTTTCCCCTTCTTTCATACTTTCGTCATCGGGGAGCAGCTGGATTCCACACAACGCGCTCTTCCATCATGTATCAATTCCACCAAGAACAGTACTCCTACACCATACTGGCCGAGAAGACAAAGCTAAAACCGCGAAGTTGGGTAATGACCACACCCGGGTCGGAGGGCTTTCTCAAACTACCAAATGAAACGTTTCTCTACACATCTCCTCCGCGAACGAGTATCCAGTTGTCGACGCCAAATACTTTTCCAGCTGCGCAACCTTACTCTGCAAAATGCGATTCGGGAATCGTATACATCACCAATCAACGAGTATGTTTTCCCCTATGGCCCTGTTCTAATCAAGAACCGTCACTAAGCCATCATAGATAGTATACCTTCCCTCAGCACCTACAACAGAACTCCAATCCTTCTCCGCCCCCATACTCAACCTCCAAGACACCTTCGTCCGCGCCCCCTTCTTTGGCGCAAATTACTGGACTGCAACCGTGAAACCCGTAAACGGGGGCGGAATTCCCTCTTCGCACTTAGCAGTAGAACTAAAAATCACATTCCGGGAAGGCGGCGCATTCGACTTCCACACTATTTTCGAGCAAATAAAGGAGCGATCGTACCAGGCATATACACTAGCGCGAGAGACCGGACACAATGGCGTAACCGGTGAGGATCTTGCGAATGTTCATCTGGAGCAATTACCTGCCTATGAAGCGGGGAGGGATGTCGAAGATGCTGAGGAGCCGAGAATCTTAAGTCCTATTCCTAGACGACCGACGGGAAATGTAGCGTCGGAAGCGATTGTGCCACCTAGTAACCCCCCAGCGCCTGATGAGCCGCCGCCTGGGTATGAGGAAGCGCAGGTTCAGGCCGTGGGAGCGGTTTTGGAGGATAGGTTGCGAAGGGAAGCACCATAAAGACTGTCTCACTGCAGCAGTTCGCCCTTCAATCTTTTCAACCTGGGACAGGCAATTAGGCATGGGAAAATTATGATCGGATTCGGTCATGGATCATGGGAAGATAGTAGATTTCTTGAAATTGTGACTGACGACTCTTTTTTATCATGGCGTTTGATACCTTTCATATTCAAGCAGAATATCTCTTCATTTTCAGAAGAAGAAGAAGGTCGGAATGGGAAAAGGCGTTTTGGGCTCTCTTTCTCTGGTTGGAAGAGATTGTTAATTTGAAGGGCATGGGATAAAGGATGGGAACTACGATTATGAAATAGAACAAATATAAATATTTTCTGTCTTGTTAAATTTTCACTTTCAAATTGAATATCAAAGCTCTCTTCAAGCCTTTTCCATTTATCGTTTCCTCCAGACGTCCCGTCATGACAATCAGTCAAATCACGTGAGACTACCCAAAAAACCCAGCAACCCCTCAACCAATCACCGCCAGGCAATTCCAAGCTTGCACGGTCAGGAAGGCCGAGCTTCAATTTTCTGTCCTGAACAATCCCGGACAATCGGCAACGACCACGAAACCCGCGAAAGTCCAACCCGCATAATCACAAATATTTCACGCCCCCCGCGGCAGATAAAACAGATACGACACGATGGGATTCTTTTCGGATTTGATGGAGGCGGTTACGCCTTGGGCGGAGGTGGAGGCGGAGGCTCCCGCTAAGGAGGAGGAGGAGGAGGGTGTTAAGGTATGCTTTGATTCGCTGTGATTTGCTTGTTTTTGTGTTCTTTTTGGGGGAGAGGGGGGAGGTGGGACTTTGAGGTTGGAGGTTGAGGGGGGATTTAGGTATGAGGGGATGGGGGAGGGGTGGTGATGTGAGAGTGTGATAGTGATCAGGGGGTTGCGATCGAGGGGTCGCAGATGAGATATGGGCGGGCTTTGGGGATTAGGGAGAGAGATTAAGGATGTGCGATTGGGGGTTTACGAGAAATGGGGCTAATGATTTTTCGATAGGACTCCAGGGACGAGGAATCTGAGGATAAGGAGGAAGAGGAGGTGGAGGAAGAAGAAGAGGAAGAGGAGATGGTCGATCCCAAGGAGAAATTTGAGGCTGGTGAGTTGTTCGTTCTGCTTGGATTGGGTATCATGGACATTGGGGCAGATTGAGAATATTGAATATTGGGGGATATGGTGCATGGCATTTGAATTGATGAACTGACGAATCGATAGAATGCCGGGAATCTAAGGGTTGCTCGTCGTACAAGCATCACTTTGATGAGTGTGTCGAACGGGTTACTGGTAAATCAGACGATGGTCCAAAAGAGGACTGTGTTGAAGAATGTATGTTTTCCTCTCCTTTTCCTCCCAGTATCCCAATTTCGGTGCCATACTAATGCAATTGATACACAGTCTTCCACCTCGCACATTGCGCCAACGCATGCGCAGCTCCTAAAGTATTTGCTGCTCTCAAGTAGATACAATACTTCGTGTACTTCCCCACTCACGAGAATTCTGAACGAAATAGATGAATTGGAGGACCGGTTTAGATGACAGTGGGATGACGAGGAATGGGGAGAGGGGAGAAATGGAAGAGAGCGTGTACAAGAAGAGAAGAAGAGAACGACTTGCTTTTGTACCACGAACCTGCATAAGCATCTTTCTCCTTTTTCCTTTCTTCTTTCTGACTCGCATGCTTGCTTGTAATATAGGTGTGGGCAGGCATGCAAGAAAATAGACTTCTTTTGTTCTTTTGGTTATGAGTTCCCTTTTTTTGCCTATTGAAAAATAAGTGTTTTTAAATCGGTAGGGGAATGGTTCCGGTGGTTGAGTTCTGAGATCGGTTTTGGGAGATGGGAGTCTGAATTGGAATTGTTTCCTTTGCGTGTAGGAGCTTATAGCGCTAAAGGCTTTCTGGACTCATCTTTGGAAAAGGAAGGAGTGTGTTGAACTTCCAGGCATGACTGGCTAATGTTTTCAGCTTGAGGAAGTGACGATGGGAGGAATCGTTGTTGTTCGTATTTCCAGGCAAGTTTTTTCTCTATGAAGATCGACGTCGCGACGTTCTTTGCTCAATTCCTCTTCTATCTCTACTCTGAGATCGGGATTCGGGTACTTCAAAAGCCACGCCCAAACGACGCGTTCATCCTCCCAAAATGTCTGAGCAGAAATGTCCAGTCTGCCCTACACAATGTCGCGAACAGGTCCGTCCAATCCCTCCATACCTACCACTCCCAACTAACCAAACAAAACCAAGTCCCTCTACGACCCAAGTAATTTCACCAACACCCACAGCCCCGTAATCTTCACCCCCGACCCATCAAAGGAACCAACCCTCCCCTCCCTCCTCCTCCTAAGTCTCTCCCACAACGACCTCCAAGAGCCTCTCCCAAGCGACACGGCCTTATTCGAAAAATTCAAGACCGTCTCCAACACCTACCGCGCAACAACCCTCGACGACGCAGTCGACTACCTCGAAACCCACAAGCCCATTGCCATCCTCGTCACCGACGCAGGCATCACCTGCCCGGAAAACGACTACCTAGTCGACCACCTAAAATCCTACGTCTTTCACGGCGGGCGTGTCATCTTCGCCCTCTCCTTCCCGCGCTTCTTCGCCTCATCCTCCCCCTCGTCCTCCGAAGATAGCTTTAATTACTTCTTTGCCTCCAAATGGGGGCTTCCCTGGCGCCTGGGCGAGTGTATACGCCAGGAGTATGAGTTTGCTTCCTGGTGCGTGCTACCCGAGGGGTTGGAGAAGGAGAAGTTGGAGGGTATTGGATGGATGGTTGCGGATGTTTTGGGGGTAAGGGGGGCGGGTGTTGAGGAGTTTCTTTTTACCCCTGCGTTGAGGGGGGAGGTGAGGAGGGTTGATGATTGGACGCAGATGGGGTTTG